GGGTTCCCCTACTACTCGTATTACACGCCACTACACGACAGTGATTTAAGCATTTGGTTACAGTCTTAGTGATTAATTAATGTTTTTATTTAAAAAATAACTACTTATAACTAAAATATAAAAAAACGGGACGAAGTATCTATTGAATAAACAAAAAAAGATATTGTCAATATCTTACTTAGTTCATTTAAGGGTTATTTATAGCGATATAAAATAAATTCACATAATATGTAGTATTAAAGAATTTTCATTAACTTTCGAAGGTGGTCAAAATAAATTGGTTCAACGACTTGAGATGAATGCAAATATCTACGTATTATGATGATTTATTTAACCAAGACGAGGACTGATGGCGAACATCCGTGGACTAAGGTTATGACTCAAAATTCAAAACTAGATTAATATAATAGGGCGAATTATAGTTTCCTGTCTTTTATACCTAGTCATCGTTCTATAAAAGGTGGGATTTTGTATTTACATTTTTAAAGGTAACTTTTATTGGTGATGAAAATCAATTGCCAGGATAATTTATGTATCTAATTTAAATCCAAGAAATTGGATCTGTTAAAAATAATTTACATTTTGCATTTATAAATATTGTAGAGAAAAGTTATTACAACTGACCTATTTGTATAATATTATGTTCGATACTAATAGTTTGGGTATAATCTGATTCTGTAATAATAATTAATAGTCACGCAATATTTTTTAAATTGCATCATTGTAAGCTGCAATGCCAAGGATCTTTATAATTATCCTAACACGGAGAAGTATTAGACCGCCGCCTATATGCAAATCGCTTTAAATAGGTATACTTACAATTCAATATTTTATATGGTTAGAAAATATAAGATTTTAAGTTTACAACAGGATTCGATTGAAATATTTATAATTAATTAAAAATCGAGGTATTTTCACAAAATATGTTGTATAATTAAAATATTTTCATTGCTCTCCATAATACTCTACATATTTATATCTATACTAATATTTTAAAGAGGTAAAGTTTGTGATATTGTGAGTTTGTGACGTTGTAGGGGGTAATCTCTGGATCTACTGAACCGATTTAGATGAAATTTGGTAAGAAGATAGTTTGAGACACTGGGAAGGACATACTTTTTATCCCGGAAATCATCCCTTAAGGGGGTGAAAATGGGTATGAAAGTTTGTATCGGTAATCAACCCAAACAAACTTTCATCCCCGACCCAAACAAACCCGAGCGAAGCGAGGGTCAGTCGCTAGTACATTTATAATATGTATATTTACATAAATATGATAATTAATGTTTTTAATGTATATAGCTTTATATTTTGGGGTAGATAATTTGATGGTTCTTAACATTATTCGTAAATTTCGGTGTAACTTCCTAAGATAAAAAGAAAATATTGAAAAAATACCTTTCGATTATTCTTTTGTATGTTTAATATAAAAATGAAAAAAAAACCGTTTTAGATGTCATTTTTTCTACATCACACCTAAGAAACAAAAAGAATAAATAAAGGCAGATCTACTTAGATAAATTTACATCAAGATTGTAGGACCCGATTGTGGTCTAGTTACATACAAATTTGTCTCACGCTACTCATCAACATATCCTGTGTTATTTGTTATTGTTACTCACGCGGAAGAACGTAGTAAAAATGCATTTAAGGACGCACACGTAAATCATTACACAGGCGAAATCATTAAACTAATTTTTTTTTAATTATAATTCTCTCTTAGATTTACGCGAATATTTGACATTTTAAATAAAACTATCTTTCCGGATTTTTTTGCGGATTTATTTTGATTTTTGGTTCCCGTTTGCTTGACGTTTGGTCGTCGTTGATTAGTTTGGTTTTGGTCTTTCCCGTGACCATGATTGCTGTAAAGTGTACCTATAGCATTCGAAACGTCAGGAATCAAAAATCAATAAATCCACGGAAAAATCCGAAAAGATAGTTTTATTTCTTTTAATAAGTTAATGAAATTGTGTAAGGCGGGTCTTATAACAGATTATATAGAGATTAAATTATCTACATCTTTATAATTTTTCTTTATTTTAAAATATCAATGTAATAACAATACGTTAACTAATAAAGTAATTTATACACAAGCTGTCTGACTTAGTTACATTTATTCATATTTAATTATGCATTTGGCACAAATATAAATTAAACTGAAAATTCTGTAATCACAGTAGACCTTGAAAATGAAATTGATAACAGATTAACATTGAGAATTATTTTTATTAAAAGTAAACTAAAGTTTCAATTATACGATAATTATGTTCTGTAGAGTATAAATCATAATTTACATGTTTATTTCGATCCATTGTAACAATTGATTCAATAATTACACGAAATCTTTAATGAATCTATGATCTGTCTATTTAAATAATAATTGTTGTATTAAAAATATGTACCCAATCTTAAATATTATATTCCTTCACTATATAATATATCTGTATATATTATACAATATATGTAATATATGTTCTAATATAAGTTACTTTCGGGAAAATTTGAATAAGCTTTTATAGCTTAAATTGTAGCGTTAATTGTAACATTTTTGAACTGGGCACGTCAGTCTTGAATATATTAGGGTAATAGTTATTTTTTTAAACTTTTAATTCTGTTCACATTTATTCAGTAAATTTTATTCTTAATTCAAAGTTTGCCAAGTGCAATCTTATATTAGTAATTTTCCGCGGCAAACTAGACTGGCCCGGTGCGTACTGCGTAATGCGTACCTTGCTGGCTGCTGCAGACTGTGGCGCGGTGATGACTGTTTCCCGCCTATTGTTCGCGATAATTGTATTAATCTATGGTCAGCGCTTATTCAGCCAACTTGCACCTTTTTACTCATCACAGAGAAAAATAAAATATTGAATAAACTAATTAAAAGCTTTTTAGTCCTAGTTCATATAGTACTATAAAATACTTAATTTTTTTGTTGTTGGAAAATATTATTAACTACAATATTTACATATATGGCAAGATTTCAATTTTCTTTCAAGACTTTATAGACAACATTTAAACAGCTTTTATTTCATGGAAGTTCTAAAGATGATAATTTACGTAAAACATGACGCATTTATGACATACTAATTATAAAAATTATACATAACTCATAATCCTATGTAAAAAAAAATACAAAAATAAAAAACCCGACTGCGTAAAAGGCGAACTAAAAAGACAGAAAACCTAGTACTATGCAGTCGGAGACATACGAGTACAATACCCGTGGCAAGATACGCAGCTACTATATTAGGTGTATGTATATCTACATATTCTAATACTGATAAAAAATATCTTACACATCTATACATATAAATATTCACCTTTTCTTCCACCTTTGTCCACGTCACTTTCTATGTATTTTGTTTTCTTATAAGTCTTATTTGTGCAATAAAGAATATATGTATATCTAATATATCTAATATATTTAAACGAGAAATTCTTGTATATATATTTATATATATGTATATAATCTGAATTTCGGAAACGGCTCCAACGATTTTCATGAAATTTTAGTATACAAGGGGTTTCGGGGGCGATAAATCTATCTAGATTAGTCTTATGTCTGGGAATACGCGTGTTTTCGAATTTTCATGCTGTTTTCTTTTGCATTATTCCACGCAAAATACTATGGTAGATAATTTCGCACGCTCGGATATAAGCATCATGGTCAAGCGGCCAAGGCGCAAGATTGAATAAGTGTCCGGGTTCGAATCCCGGTCGGATACAAAGGTATAATGTATTTTTGTATTTTTTTTGTATTTATTCAAGTTTATTTGGGTTTTTTTTAAAGAAAATTGTACTTTTCAACCAAAAACTCCGAGCGAAGCTCGGTGGCCCAGGTACTACATGTAATATGAATACATATTGGAAGTTCTTAACAATGTTATGATAACAAGTGCTAATTGTAGTATTTACTGGTGGTCCTTAACTTTGTGCTGTTATAAAAGACAAATATTCCCTTGTTTGAAAACTGTATGTAAAAGGCAGCATAGTGCACCTAACTAACTAACCTGAACGTACCCTATTCAAACCCAGGATGAGATTGTAAACGGTAATAACGTTTTTACGACCGACGTTTCTCATATTTTTTAATGTTAGAGATATAAAATACGATTGATGTTTTTAAAATAGATCTACTTGAAACGTCATCGTCAGTTTTGCAAATATAAATGTGCAGTACTTAAAAAAATGTACGATCAATCAAGAAATATACCTTGTACTAGCTTTTGCTAGCGGCTCCGCCCGCGCGTTTTTTTTATATTTGCTCCTGAGGCATAATGTTAGATAGGACCTGAACGTGTATAAACTTCAATAAATAGGAAGCTGCGTTTAAATAAACAAATAAATAAATAATATCTTCAGCTTTATAAGCATAGAAAATTAAACAATTTTCGAAAAAACTGCAAAAAACTACAAAAAATCTTAAGTTTTCATACAAACTCGCATCCCCTATTTTATCCCCCTTATAGGATGAATTTCGAAAACTGCTAAAACACGTATTTATTTAATTGTATTGAAGAGCATTAATACGAAGCATCAAGTAATTCTGATGATAAATAATTTTTTGGGTTGTATTTATTATAACGTGTTTTCTCGCAGGAATGACATACATAATCTTAAATCTCCCGCGGTAAAACGACTACCTATGTCACTCTCCAGCCCTCCAACTATCTGCACACAAAAAATCACGCCAATCTGTCACTCCGTTTCGACGTGAAAGAAGGACAAACAAACAAACACACTTTTCAATTTATAATATTATAATATGGATATGGATGCCTTAAAAGCTTCATACACTCTCCAACTATCAATTTTATAGATGCTGGAACTTACTCAAAAGTATTGAAACATTTTGATAAACAAAATACGTAAATATAACAGTACTATTTTCATTTGTGCTTCAGACGAGCTTTACGCCGTTGGAAACGAACTCATACCCAGTGAAGGAGAACCAGTCCGCGTGACCGCCGGCATACACCGCTACCCGCCCGCATAGGATGATAGAAACTGACCCTGGGCCTAAGAAACCTCACAGTAAGTTAAATATTAAAGTATATATTAGAGATGTACCAACTAGTGCGCGATTAGTCGGGAAAGCCGACTATCCGGCCATTTATATTCAGCGACTAGTCGGCAAAAAGCACCGACTAGTCGGGCTATTGCCCACTACTTTATTCATATTATTATTCTTAAAATATTGAAATGAAATTCCGTCATTATCATTATTATTTATAATTTAGTATCAGCCTTACAATTGGCGATATAATCTAGGAATAGGAACGAAGTAACGAATAAAAGACTTAAGAAATTATATGACTAAGATTAACAAAAAAAATTTTGAACGCAACTTTCTACAATTCTGAACAAAGAACTTAGTTATGTAATCTCCTGTTAATTATTTATTTTTGAATCACAGTGTCAAACACTATGTATTTATTATTAAAAGAAATATAACCTAGAGGCAGGAACCGATAATTCTAAATTCGGCCGATTGGTCGGCCTTTTTTCAACCGACCAGTTGGCTAGTGGGCAAAACTCATCATAGTCCATCTCTGGCCCGTCTGGTCCATCTCTAATATATATGTATCTGTACATCATTTAAAAAAGATACTGTACAGGATCAACATTTTATTACAATACTGAATTAAATTAAACTGAAGTTTTAATTTCGATAGAACTATGTGAAATATATTTAAAATATTATTTTTTTTTACAGATTGTGATGTAAAAATTGACCACCAACTAAACGGACCAGGTTCCAAAAATATTGACCTTGGTAAGTTTCAGAAAAAAGTACCTATTAATTGTTAAAGAATACATTTTATATTATAGCGAATAAGACAAAATAATATGATTATTTTTAATTCTATTTACCCAAGTGTCTGAAAACTTACGATACATTAAATATTATGTCATAGTAGGTACATATGTCTATAATCTTCCTTTTATATTGTTAACAGCCGTCGTGCCGTCGCTGAAGACACCAGCAAAGCTCGACCCCGAAAAAGGTACCTCGGAAAAAGCTGACTTCGAACGGGCAATCGAATTAGCTGGTAAGATGCTAATATTTTTTAATAATTTTATCAAAATTGAGTTTAAATCATAATCTGTATTTAACAATCGAATTAGTTACTGGAGTACCCATTTAAATACTTTGTAACAAGCCAATACCGTTCACTATAAAAATTAAATGTCATATTTCACATTCTGTTACATAATAGCAGACACGTGTAATTATATCTTCAGCGTAACTGTTGTTTGTAAATAGAGTAGTAATTCGAACGGAGGGAGCAGTAATGAGTCAATTTATGAATGAAGATAGTCCGCGTTGCATTTTTTCGAGTGGTGCCATGGAGTAAACATGGTGATTCTGGGAAGTTGGTCGTATGACATCAAATTTGTTTACGCTTGCACAGGATATGAGCCTGCCATGGTGCTAGAAAGTGAATATGATATGGGAAAATATCCAAATTGCGCTTAACAAATTAATTCACTAACGTTAGTAAGAAGATAGATTTCATGAAAATATTTTAATAGGATATTGTCACAATTCTATGAGCTTAACATCCAACGCCCGGTCACAGCCTTAAAAAGTTCAATTTGTGATAAATTCTTACCATACTGATTACACAAACATAAAATATGTATATGTAAATCATATTAACATTTACAGGCTATGGACGCTTTCACTACCTCCTGCTGGCCGTATGCGGCCTCGTCAGCACCTCAGAGGAGATGGACGTCATATCCATGTCCTTCATTCTGCCGTCCGCGCAGTGCGACCTAGACCTCACCACACAGACCAAAGTACGTATATCAATATATTTGTAAAAAAATACTTAGTCCTAGATTTCGGAAAATTTAAGAAATAATGGAGAAGCCAATAAAGTTGAAACACATTTACACTTAACTTTTATTTTTACTTACATAAAATTGTCATTAGGATTGTATAATATGAAGGCTACTCCTAATAGTTAGTAAAACCACCAATTTAATGTATTTTTATTTTATTTTATCCTATATACCTAATATTGTACAGTGTTTTATTTGCGATATCATCGCTGCTTCTGTGGATAATAAAATTTGTTCTTCTAAGAAGAGCATGATGGTATAAATTCGCACTATGTGAATTAAAAGCTTACATAAACATATTACTCGCTGAGGAGGAAAATTTGACATTAACAAATATTTTGAACAAACAAAATCTCATCATTTGTATATCAATCATCGGTAGTCCCCCGATTCTGAGATGAGATAAGTGACAATATTTGTAAATAATATGTACTAGATACAGTAGGTATCCTCCGTAATAATTTACAAATAAATATTTTTTTTTCAGAATATTATATAAAGCAAATATCCTCCTGTTTTGTTACCGCGTAAACATACGTAATACATTATATTATTAAACAATGACTGTTAAATTATACCATACTAGCATTGCGCGCGGCTCCGCCTGCGTTCAAATGAGTAAAAACCAAATTCTTAGGTTTTACATATTAGTATACTCTTACAATGCAGTTTTTGTATTTTTTCTCAAAAATGAGATACTTCTTTCGCGGTAAAAAGTATCCTATATGTTGACCCGGATAACCAGCTATCACCATACCAAATTTTATCAAAAACCCTCCAGTGGTTTTTCTGTGATGCGGTAACAGACAAAAATTTTTTAAAAACTATAGATTCGGCCTCTGTATCGATAATAATGTCTGTTTCAATAAGATTTTCCAAAAAATATTTAATGTACAGATTCGACTCAGTTAAAATTTTATTATATGTATAGATTAATATACTATACAGTATGTAACATATAATAAAATTTTAACTGAGTCGAATCTGTACATTAAATAGTTTTTGGAAAATATCATTGAAACAGTCATTATTATCGATACAAAGACCGAATCTATAGTTTTTATAATTTTTGTCTGTCTGTTACCGCATCACGAGAAAACCACTTGACAGATTTTGGTGAAATTTGGTATGATGATAGCTGATTATCCGAGTTAACATATAGGATAATTTTACTACGGAAAAATATCTCATTTCTGAGAAATCTATTTCTATACTTAACGCTAAAACTTAACTAGGGATAACCCGAGCGGAGCAAGGACACGGTAATGTTATATATAACAATACATAAGCTGACTCGACCGACGTCTCTTTTTTAATAAAGTGTGGGATTTTTTGAGTTTATTCAAAATTTTCTATAGAAATAAATAAAATAAATAAAAAATAATATAAATTTTCTATTTTCTTTCAGTTTTTCTCATAATTTTTCAATTTTACTGGCAACGTTTCCAATTTTTTCCCCTGAAACTTTATTCGGACGATAGCATTTTTTTTAAAACATTAGTGAAATCGGTCCGGTCCAGTCCACTCTACTTATCCATACAGATGTATGGATTGATAGATGTACAGCTTTAAAGTTGACTGGTATAACTGTAACTTGCCACAAGATTGCACTACAACACTAACTTCGAAACCGTTCGCCATGAAAATTGATATTTTTGACAACCCTTACATTAGAAAGCATTTCCGTTAAAAACAATTTGCGATGCCTATGATAAGTCTATGGATTTATCTCAAGCAATGCGCTTACCAACGAGCAGAATTTAACAACAACAATAACAATCAATAACATGTTCCTTAGGGATGGCTAAACAGCATAATCTTCATCGGAATGATGGTGGGCGCCTACGCGTGGGGCTCAGTTGCAGACTCGCTCGGCCGCAAGCGGGTCTTAATCGCCATCTCTATCATCAACGCGTTCGCCATCGTTGCATCTTCCTTCAGCCAAAATTATGAACTCTTCATGTTCTTCCGCTTCATAAACGGTGCTGCGTGAGTACTACTTTTTTTATTAAACTACTTTTAAATATTGAATGAATGAATAAATTACTCTTTATTGTACACCCAAAAAGAGAAAAAGAAAATATACAATATAATATAGAAGAAGGTACGAAAGGCGGCCTTATCGCTAAAAGAGCGATTTCTTCCAGGCAACCTATAGGTGTGTAGGAAATAGTACTAAGATAGAAGGGGCGCGAATAACAGAAAGATTATATATTTATACATATACGTTTCATACAAATATATAATATATATAAAAAGGCAAGTTTAGCAAGATATACTAAAGTTCATACAGATAACAATAAAACATACTGTGTATGGAAGTGGTTCTTTAGACGTTTTTTAAATATTTTTAAATATTATATTTCTGTATGCATTTTAAAGCTTATATATATATTTGTCTTCAATATGATTATGATTAATTATAAAAAGCACCATAGATCCTATTATGTCAAATATTTCTTTGTTTTTTAGTTTGGGAGGATCAGGGCCAGTTATCTGGTCATACTTTGCAGAGTTTCAACCTAAAAGCAAGCGAGGTGCCATGTTAAGTTTCATGGCTGCTTTCTGGACTCTTGGTAATCTTTTTGTCGCTGGTCTCGCTTGGGTCATCATTCCAAGTGGTACGTATTTTGTAAAATATTAATTATTATCATATATATAAAAGACTCTACGTATAATATTTGTAAAATTAAACCATTGTTTTGCAGGAATCGGAGGCGAAACCGGTGGCTTCGTTTACAACTCATGGCGTATCTTCTTACTAGTGATGTCACTACCCTCATTTCTGGTGGCTGCACTATTGTTCCTTCTGCCAGAATCTCCTAAATTTTTAATAACAACCGGCCGTCACGACGAGGCTTTAGAAGTATTCCGTGGTATTTACCTTATGAATACTGGTAGGGATAAGGATCTATATCCGGTTAAGCAAATTTTGATCGATGAACCTTTACACACAAAACCGGAGAAACAGGTTGAAGCGAAAGAACCAAAGGAACCAAAGTCCAAATTAAGAAGGATGATGAGCGATATTGTGGAACACAGCAAGCAATTGTTCGTGCCACCCATACTAAAATTCACTACAATCTCTATCACCATCAACTTTACATTCCATATCGGGTAAGCTTTTATATACTTAAAATTAAACGATAATAAAAAACAGTTCGTAATAATTGTTATTAAAACCATTCAAACAATTTCCACCGAAAACTAGAAATAGGCAGTAGATAGCTTCTATGACACATTGATAACAATTGTTGTTAAGCAAGTTTGTTACATAATTTCCACTGTAATTATTATCGTTATATTTCATTCTTTAATTGTATTTATTTGTTATCTCTTATAGAAAAAAAATGTCTTTTAACTATGTATTTTTTAAAAGCGCCCAAAACAAAATTTTACTGGATGGTTTAATTAATTTGAACTCGCAACATCTCTTCATTTTCAGTCAGATAAAATTCTGTATAAAGAATACTAAACACAGTGCATTATGATATATTTTTCAGATACTACGGCCTTATGATGTGGTTCCCAGAAATGTTCAATCGTTTCGACGAATGGTCGCGGACGCACGATAATGCTGAGGCGGACATTTGTCAAGTAACTGCATATGTAACGCAGTTCGGAACACATTCTGCCGATTCGAAATGCGATGCTCATATAAACTCTGATGTGTTCATGGAGTCCCTTATAACGGTGGCTGCGGCTATACCGTCCAATATATTCGCTGTACTTGGTATGGATAGGTTGGGGAGGAAGTTTTTCATGGGTAAGTTGATAGAATATTTATTGATATAGGTACCATCACTATTTCATTCGATAAAATTAGAGAAAATTTTCGGAAAGTTTACCGGACCAAAAAATAATGAATAATATCAATCGTTCAATATTTTAAATAAATTATACTTTATGCCAATTTAGCACGCATTATACGACAAATGCCCGATTTCACCAACATCACTTAAGCTACCACCTACGTATGGGATCCCTAGCTTAAAAGTTCCCCTAAACTAGCCCCTAAATTAAATTTCGTTTTACCATCGTCAGAGCTGGTATTTCTAGTACCTATATTTAGGTGGCATTTTAACATTTAGGTGACCCCTAACTGTCGGTGAAAAAGAAACTGTACCTTAACAGCCCCCTAACCATGCTTAGGGGATCCCTTAAACTTAGGTGACGTTGGTGAAATCAGACAAAAATCTCTTAGATTCTCTAGCCCTATAAGGATTAGGTTATTCTTGTTTTCGAAACTTGCTTAGCAGTAAGACTTGCAATTATTTAATCGTCTGTGTATACTTTCATTTACACTTATATAATCATTATTTATATATTTATTAGTAGCTAGCTAAAGAAAAATGAAATCTAAAGTCGATTAAATACAAATTTTTATTTTCAGTATTCGCAACATTTTCTGCGGGTTTGTGCTCAGCGGCGATGTATTTCGTTTACAACAAGACTAACAACCTCATTGTGAGCGCCATTTTTAGTTCGGTTATATCTTGCGGGAACGCGTCCCTCGACTGCCTCATCACTGAAGTGTTCCCTACTAATTTACGGTAAATACTGTCTTTATTTTAGTCACTAGCTTAGGTTAATTCAATTATATGTAATATAACTTGGGAAACCAAGTGAAGCGGGGTTAATTTCCGGGTCTCACACCTCTGATGATTTTATATGCGAATCATTTTCAACATGACTACCACTGGCTATATGGTAAAGGAAAAAACATCTTGAACAAACTCATATCTGAGAGAACCTAGCAAGTTTTCGAAAGACATTGTATTCTTGGTGGACTATGGTCTTATCTCCCTCATATTGAAGGGTGGCTCATGCCCAGAGGGACATTAAAAATGGCTGCATGTATCTAGAATTTAGATCTGTAATAATCCTTAAAATGGCTGTATGCACAGCGTTCTTTTTGTTTATAGTTTTGTTTATCGCAGAGCAGATTGTGTGGCAGTCTGCTGTCAGCCAGCAATCTGTACAGTTTAATTAAGCTGTATTATATCCAAATTAAAATCGAACCACCTAACATATTTAAGACATTAAATTCGAGACTAAAAATATGCATATCATATATCTTAAAATGTTTTATGTTAATAATGCAAAATAATTCCAGTGCAACGGGTGTAGCGGTGTCGATGGTAGCGGCGCGTCTCGGCGGGATCATCGGTAACGTGGTGATAGCGGCGTTACTGGACACGTACTGCCCGGCGCCGACCTTCATCGTGGCGGTGCTTCTAGCGGGCGGCGGCCTCATGTGCCTCCTACTACCCAACACTACGAGACAAGCTTTACAATAATACCAACTTCCCGTTAGATAAATCGATATTTTCGTATCGATTTTTCATTTTATTTATTTAATTTTCTCTTCCTTCCTTTTTTATAAATCGAATATCATTCTAAGTGAAACAGTATTTTTCGTCGGTACGACCTGATGCGTCTCTTCTCGCCATGAGGCAATTTCATTAAAAAATATCAACTTTAAAAAATTCCAGCCAAAACGATTATTTTGATTGTTTTATGCGATGTCAGTGTTACTTTTGTTTTATAAGCAATACAACCTATCTAAAGAAAAAATGACGATCGGTTTTTAACATGAAAAAACTATTTTCTCGCAATAATGTTTACTGATGTAGATAGTTGTTTTATATATCTATTATATAGTATTTTAGTTGTTATTTTTATATGGACGAGCAATAATTATTTTATGAACTAGAACGATTATTTAGAATTTTAAATCATTAGTTATATTAAAATGCTGATAAATCTGTACTGCATATTTACCTATTACAAGTATTGTAGTCTTTATATTCAACCATCGTTGTTACTAAATGTATTATTAATAAAATGTTACGAATTTATATGTAAAAAATGTTACCTTAATTTAGTAGAATAAAAACAAATAGTGAGAATCCATATTTTTTACTGCAGCACCTGTTACAACAAAGAAAATTAATTAAACTGTAGTTTTATATTTAATTTTAAGTCACAAGTCACCTTAAATACAATAAAATTATACGAAATTACTAATGAATATTTATTTCATACTAAATTATTATTATCCTGAAATAGATAATAATTATCCATTTAATAACCTCGTAGAGCAGTAGCACAATATACATCGTAAAAAATAGCAAGATGTGTTCAATGTCAATTAAGTATTTCTCTTTTTGTTAGGAATATAAAACAAGTACATATAATTAAGATGGAAGCCGGTACGTGACGACTATAATCGCATTCAAAAGGTAGGCAAATAAAGTACTTTATGTAGATATGATAAATTTTTCGACTATTTGTTAGTGGATAAGGCGGAATAGGAAAGTGTTAATCATCATGAAACCTTTTCTACTGAGAAAGAAAAAGTTTTTACTATGATTGCTATTATAGTTCAAAAGCCACTAGGTGTTAATAAAAAATTTTTTTTTGTTTAATTTTAAACATTTAATGTTTTCATCATTCATTTAATGTTTTTTTTTTTGATTACCCATCTGGATGCCAAATTTTAACTTTCTAGGTCATCTGGAGTGGGTTAGGTTTTACTTACTATAGATATATATTCAGTAAGTGATAAAAATGCCGACTTTTAGACGTTAATATCTCAATAACCGTTTGAGCTGTATTTATGAAATTGGGAGTTCTAGTAATTAATCTAAGGGGATTTAATAAATGAACTAAATTTCATGAGTTCATGTTAATTAGATTTTGAGTTATTACGAGGTGAAAAGTGGCTCCAAGTGGTTCGTATAAAATATACACACGGTGCTGCGTCGCCATTTCCTTTGGCTTCAACTTGGCAGTAGGCTGGCCACACTACCGCGTGTTGATTTATGATACTAATTTTGTTATCTAAGCGGAAACCGTGAAGGGAAACGAAATAATTATAAATGAAATTTTGAATAAAGTTTATTTATTAAAACCTTAAACTACACAGAATTATATTGCTAACTCCATTTTTATAGTCCGATCTAGATCCTGACATAGATCACTCAAACAAACCAATATGTGCCTTTGACATAATATTACAAGTTATATCAACAAATATTGTACTTAGCATTAATAATAATTATAATATTTAATTCAGTTAACTCACAACTGAAACCACACCGAAAGGCGTAGAATTAAAGTTTATGATTGACTTTATAAACCGAAAATAACATAAAATGCCGGTATTAACGTAAATAGCACAAACAATATCGTACAAATATGTACCTAATTATCTCGTTCAAAAGATCGCTAAACGTTATAAAAATATTATAATATGCCTAACTTTTAATATATTACATCGGATCCAACAATACATAATTCAATTTTAATTTACAATCATATTTCTTATTCTAATCGCTGTGCAGTTATGCATCTGGCATTTGTTTGAATGACATTCCAGAGCTTCAGACGCCATCATAAAACTTCAGTCTATTATTTACACAGTCATCTACACGCGAGCGTTTAGAACGAACGCAATATCTATTTATTTAGTATTGGCATTTCTTAACTTTCATTACCAAACGAAAAATATTTTTTTTTTATTTCTTTTTTGTACTAATCGTACAATTTTCAAATGATGTACACACATACATATGTACTGAGAAAATATTTGAAACTTAACCTATTGCACATTTTCATCAACAATGTCGAGAGTTGCTAATAAATATTTTTTTTATGAAAAGTAAATGAAATTAAACTTTCAAGATACAATAATTAACTGCTATGAGATAGATCATTCACTGATAACTGCATAATGGGTTGTAAGGGTATTTCGGCTGAAGTCTCTGAGGTGTCTGAGCAGGGAGTTAGGAGTCTCCGAGGCCACTGCCCGCTGTCCTCGTTCTCAGACTCTCTGACATCTATGGACGAAGGCGACCCAATGGTTGACTCCACAGAGGACACAGTTCTCTCATTCACCTCATCTGTGAGTATAGGCATCGATTTCCCCACACTTTCCTCTTCAGTTAGAAGGGGCATCGATATTGGACCAACCGATATATCTTCAGTGGTTGTGAACGTCATTTCCGTGTTTGGTGAAGGTAGTAGTGATGTACCGTAATTATTATTGCTCAAGGGGTTCGTGGTTTTCGGTGCTATTCGAGGATCAGTTACGGTTATGGGTAATTCGAGAGACGTGGGTACGGTATGTGGGGTCACTCCGATGACAGCTAACCCATCTTCGAGGTTTGATGGCACCGTGGGTTCACTGTCGCCTTTTGAAGGAACTTCAACTGGAGTCATTATAGGCTGATTTAGTGTTGTACTCGTTTCTGATACCCGACAGTGGACTGAAACATTAGCATTCAAGTCCCTAAAGTCTGGTGCTTCATCACGTGCTGTTTCAGCGTGGAACACGTCACTATTTGCAAGAGCAGCTTCTAAGATATCCCGTCGCTCGGGCACAGGTGCCAACACCGGCATCGGCTCAGGCATCGGTACGAGCTGGTTATTTTCCAGTACCAATGGACGATTGTCAATCACTGTAAATGTTCCGTTCTCTTCAACACAAAGATAAAATGATCCTGCAGGTCCCCCAAAATGTTCTCCAGGAACTGCCAGCAGTTGACCATCAGAGAGAGAGGCTGGGGTAGTAGGCTGTGTAGGGAGTTCGGGTTGTGCCAAAACTGGCTCTTGTCTAGCGATCGCTGTCGAAGGTAATAATTCTTCAAAATTATCCATATCGGAATAATTTGAAACGGTCGCATTATTTGTAGTGCTTGAAACGTTTGGTACTTGTGGAGGAGCGATTGTATTAGATATGGGAGCTAGAGCCGGCATAGACACTGGCGTTGGAGCTGGGGCTATGGCTATTTCGTGTTTTATTCTCTTAGGCGGCATTGGTGTTTCACTGGCTTGCTTTCTTATCCTTTGTTTTTGGATAGTTGGTACTACTGATTCATTTGACGAAAGTGTAACTGATTTTTGAACGATGATTTTTTCTTGCTGAGCAGGTGCTTTTTGTATTATCTGACCGGTTCGTTGTAAATGTTCGAATTGTGCCGCCGTTAGTTGCATTACCGTTCCAGATTTTTGTTGTAAAAATATGAGGGGTTCGTTAGAACTTTTTTGTATAGTTTGTACAAGCTTTTTAGGTTCGGTTGCTAATATTCGTTTCGGTGCTGGCCTTATTTCTGGCAATGGCGCTATATTTTGAGTCGTGGTGGAAATTCGGTTACCTACGATTAATTGCCCTTTTGAAGTAATAATAGCACTTTTTTGTTTAGGGACGATTCGTGTTTGTGTTTTCGTTGCGACCGCAGTTGATACAATAGTTTTTTGAACGGCTCCGGAGTTAGCTGTGATGCGATGAGTTAAATTTTTAAGCTGTGATATATTAGGTTGTTGCTTATTGGGGAACAAAATTTTCTCATGTTCCGGAGTAAGAACTATTCTTGATTGAGCTCCTTGGGCATTGGTAATGATCATTACTGTGTTGCCCGGAGTACTAGCATCTGAGGCTGATGGTATAAGTTTTGCTGAAACAGGTTTATTGTCAGCAACACTTATCGGAGTATCTGGTGCTTTTCCAACTAGAACATGAGCTTTACCAGTTTGGGGGTCAATCACAATTTTTTGCGTTCTGCCTGGCCGAGGCGAGCTTGGTGTAGGTAGAATTATAAACTTCTCCGTCTTAGCAGTACTTTGTGGAACTGACTGTATTAATGTGGGTGTCTGTTTTATTTCCTTCACTGTAGGTTCCGTTTTTGTCATTATGATTTTTTGTTTTCCTGTTGTCTTATCTATCACTAACATCGGCTTAGCACCTCGTAATTTAGACGATTTTGAAAGAATATTAGGAGTTGTAACTTTATTTATTTCGTTATTAGAATTCATTAGTAAAGTTTTTATTTCAGTTTTATTTGGAGTCGCGCTTATTGGCATCTTTTCACTTTCGATCAACGTTGACTTAGTCTTAACAAGTTTAGGTGGGTTACTAGAATTTGTAATTACATTACCATCCGACATCACTATGGGCATTTTTTCAATACTTTCAGGCGTTAAAATATCATCAGAAATTACTATGGGCATAGAATTTATATCAAAAATATTGTCGTCTTTATTCTTAGTATCTCTAATAGTTTTTGTCTCTGTAACAAGCGATGTTTGCGGTTGGGGTTTGATTTTCTGTAATTTCGTTACTGGTTTTGTGATTTTGCGTATTTTCTGTTGAATTATAATTGTATTGGCGTCACTTACAGGCTCTGGTGATGTTTGTATAGTATATGTTTGAACAGAGGATCCATCTTGACCGGGTTTATTAGTGCGGGATAAAATTATTTTGTCAGGTGTAGTCACGTCTGTTAGCCTGTTTAGCAAATTTTTATTTGGTGCAGTCCGACGTACTATGATTTTTTGTTTTGGTGATTGAGATTTAGATTTTATTGGTGATTTTCCAACATCAAAATTTAAAATTTTCTCCTTTCCCGGAACTATTATTTGTTTAGTAATAGTTTTCTTAGCAGTCAATTTAGGTAATACTGGTTCTTCTAGAATTTTTAATAATTTCGGAGAATTTGTTTCAATTTCCCCAACCTTATGATGATTTATGAGATCACTAACAAATTCATTTGTTTTAACTGTTGGTTGCGTTTTTAATTCTATGGACTTTATTTTTAAATCGTTTTCTTTAGCCGCAACGTTTAGAACTTCTTTATTTGGCAAATCAATATCAGGTATTTTTATTTTAAGATCAATTGATTCTGACATTTGAACTAAAGACTGAGCTGCATTTAAATTTTCACTTTTTTCTTGTTCTGTCTCAAACCTAGAATTAATATTTTCATTATTTGCCTCAATATGCACGTCGGAGTGACCTGTATTAATAGAATTAGTGGCATCAGGCAAGGTCGTATTTTCGTTTTTATCTTTAAATATATTATCTTTAATGTAATCCGTGGTATCCTCAGAAGTTTTCAAAGTATCACTATCTGCATGAAGAGCAATGACTACTTTGTTCTGCATAGTTGTGGTTGGTAAATTTATGAGAGCTTCTGCTATCTGCAAATCTGATTCAGAAGGCATGCTATCGATGGAAAACGCTTCTTTTGTTTCTTTTAAGCTTATTTCTGATTTATTATTTTCACTAGACTCTAAATTCTGAATTGAAGATTCTTCAGAACTATCTTTTTGTAGAGGATTTCCTTCATTGATTTCCTCAACTATGACATCTTTTCCTTGTGTTAAATTTGAAGCCGTATCAATATTTTGTGATTTCGCTTCGTTATTTATATCTTTTACTATGTTTAAATCATCTTCTTCAAGTTGATTTGTTTTAGAGATTCGTTCTGCACTCTCATCTAAGCCATTGCTTTGGTTATCGGTATTGTTAAATCCATTTAAACTGTTTAATGTATTATCTTTGATATCATCTTCAAATAAGTCCTCAGGAGGATCATCACTTATATTTTTTGTAACTCTGTCTGTTTCGCGTGACACACTTAATAATGCATCAACTGCAGATGCAGTAGTTTCATTCATATAAGACTCATAAGTTTTCGGAGGTTCATTTTCTTTCAATTTTGATGCAGTATTGTTTTCTAACTTTGTACTAACTTCATCTGTAGATAATGTTTTCTTATTGTCTGTGTCATTGTTATTTATATTATTTTCCTTATTAATATTTTCATCTATACTTTGTTTATTACATGTTTTACTACTTTTTATTGTTACATCTTTGTTGTTATCCTCTCTATTTTCGTTTTGTGCAATATTTTCAATACTAAAGTTTTGAATATTTTGTTTTTCTATAGTATTATCTGTTATATCAGAATATAATTTTTCAGGTGAAATAGAATATGTACTGTCTTGTTCTTCTTTAAGTTTTCCTGCATTTATTTTTTCTAGTTCACGAAGTTGTGCTGCCTCTGCTTTCATTTTCTTAAACTGAACTTTTGGTGCCAAACGAGCAACTTTCACATGTTCTCTTGGTGGTGAAACTCTTATTTCAGGAATGGGTGTATCCGATCCATTAATTTCTGTATCTGCGATATCCATTCTTTCTGCAGCGTTTAATTGTTCAGCAACATATTTTCCTATTGCATCTTGGCTTCTTGAGTGTCGACTACGAAAAAACGTCTTTGTCTTAAATATTGTTTTAGACGGCTGTGGTTCATTTGAACTTTTTTTTTCTACTGGATTTTGATCTTGAATGTCACTTTTTTTATCTGGGGATTTGACTATCGAACGCTCCGGAAAATTTTCCTCAACTTTTAAAGGTTCAGGGGCTGCAGGTAGCTCTGGTAAAGTAGTTTTATTGAGTAATTCAGCAACTTCTCTAGCTATTTCGTCTTCATCAATACTAACACTTTTTGTTTCCCCTTTTCGTTTAGACGGATTTTTCACTCTTGGAATTTTTCTACCAATGTCAGCTTCAACTGGCCAATCTTCATCCTCACAGAATTCATATTTGGAATCACTAGATGATTCTGGTTTTTCAGGTTCAGGTTGCTCTTCTACTTGTTTAACAGATTCTACAGGAACTTGTGCACTTGGTAACTCTGCAGGAGTTGGTACTGCAGGAGATTCAGCAGCTATTGGTACTTCTGGAGATCCCGCCATGACCATAGCTGAATCATCATTTGATTCTTCATCTCCATCATCCCAGTCTGCTAATAGACTACTTTTTATTTCTTCGTCCGTTTTTTGTTTCTTAACTTCAATATTAGATTCAGGATCTGCAGTGCGTTTGATACTCGGAGTTTTCTTAGGTTTGTCAGATTTTTCCTGGCGAGGCTTTTTCTGTTTTGGTGTTTTTGTTGTAACAGGTGTTGATTTCAGTGATTTTGAGGTCTTTTTTCTTACAGGAGATGGTGTATAAGGCGTAAAAGTAACACTATGTGTCTTATTGTGTAAAATTAATACATTTAGGCGAGTGGTGGTAAAGTTGCATGCATGACATGCATAAATTCCTGCACTAGACATGGTAGGTGTATTGAAGGTTGCCTGTTGGGTGTTTGTTTCTGATTTTTCTGTTTCTTCACTTTTATTTTCTTGTTTTTCTGGTATTTCTGAAGGCTCTGAACCAGCCCGGCTAGTTGATGGAGTAGAGACACTTTCGGCTTGAGTTGGTGTCTTCGAACCTTGCAGCAGGATGTGCACTTTATAGTTTGTTTTTTCTTTAAACTGAAAATAACAATATGAAGTATTAAATAAAATTAAACTTAGTAGATTAGTGTAAAAATATTATAAAGACTTAAATATTTTACCTTTTGGTTGGGAGTAGAAAATTTTGAAGAATCTGGAGGTCTTCCTCTTCCACCTCTTCCTATAAATATAAGGAACATAAGTTATAAGAAACTGCTAGAACATTTGTATTTAATATCATGCATATATTAATGGACAAATATTGTAAAAGATAATTATTAGTGAGCAGAAATACACATGTAATAGAAATACCCAGAATAAATCCATATATAGATACCCACAACAAAAAACCAAAACAATAATGGGAGCTATAAACCCTCAGCTTGTATTATTTAAAAACCCTGGAATAACAAACAAGTTCTAGAGAACAATATTTTTTACAGTTTATTTTAAGACATAACATGCTTTTAATAAAAATATTATAATAAAATCTATGGAACTTTCAAAACTATATTTTTAGCTCTGGGCACTACAATACACATTTATAAAACAAAATTAAAAATATTGCATATATATGGATTTAGTGAAATGTTTTTGCTTAATTAAGTGTACACTATTACTCTTTTCAGTTTTCAATATTAATTTCCATATATCTGAACTGAGTTTATTAAATAAAAAAATGATAACAAGCAAAAAGCATAGCAAGTTTTTTTTTAAATAAAATTTCAAATGTAAATTAGATTCACTATTATTATGATATACAAAAATGTTGCAACTTAATTCACCCAAATTATAAATTTTTACCCCTGATGCAAAATGATGGGGTGTTATAAATTTGACATGTCTGTGTGTGGCTGTCTGTGGCATTGTAGGTCCCGAATGGACGAACCGCTTTTGACTGTTTTGTTTGAAAGGTGAATTAGTTGGGAGTGTTCTTAGCTATGTTTGATGAAAATCGGTCCAAGATGGTCAGGGGTTTTTTAAATTTTTAATTTATTAGGTATAATTAAATGAAATAAACATTAGTGCATAGTATTAATGCAAATAGTTAAAGCATGGGATAAATCTTTTCTAACCAAATTTAATAAGTTTAATTTTACTATTACTGAATATGTTATAAAAATATACTAATTAAATCATGGGTGCCGACAGGGGGGTGCAAGAAAAATATATGGAAAAAGTTAGATATAATATTGTATTATTAAAATCCCTATTTAAATTTAAATATTTGTGAAAAAAGATGATAAATAAGATATCAATAAAATTATAAAGTTAATCTCTCATTTAAATATTAGTTAGTAGTTTAATGTGAAGAAGCAGATGCATCCCCTGGAAATAATTCTGCCACCGCCCATGAATTAAATAAGACATTACTTAGTAAGGCATAGAAAATGTAATGATAAGTAATAGCAACTAAGCAATGAACTATCAAATTTAACCTTTTTTACCAGAGGTAGGAGTTTTTTTAGATGGGTCTCCAAATAGTCCAGCATAGCTTTCTTTCTTTGTTTCCTGGAATTCATCCCTCGTAAGTATTTTAATGTCCCCTCCTACAGCAGTTTCTGCTCGTATAACATCCTCAGGAAACTTCTCCATATGCCCATGTTTTGTTCTATACATATCTATAAAAATGTCATACATAAAAAATATATTTTAATCGATATTCATGTATTGATAATTAAACTAGAAAAAACTTACATAATCCTTTGTTTATGAATTCATTCTTGCGACTGCAATTATATTTATAAATGCAGTTCAGATTTTTCACATATTCACTGAAAGCAAAGAGAAGAAACAGATTAATTTCATTTATATTTTATTACTGCTAACACCATAAGTTAATGAAAAATTATTAATCCATAATTCAAAGCTTCTACTGCTGTGAGTGGTATAGTAGTGATAAAAGAGAATATGAAATATCTACTATTTGGTAACAAAAACAAGAATAATATTTTGGAAGAAAATCAAAGCACCTCATAGGTTATATTTGTAAACTTACTAAGTATCTTCTTGAAAGAACTTGACAACAGCTATTGGTGGTTTTCGAAATGAAGGCAGGACATCTGGTGGTAGCTTCTCCGAGCCAACCACCTCCCCGGGCCACCAACATGAGCCGAGCTTTACCCATACTACATCTCCATCCAAATAATTAATTTCAGTCTGTTCACACATCACTACTATCAGTTCAGGCAACACGCACGACCATATTTTATTCTATACTTACTATAGGTCGAATGGGCCTGTTACCATAACATACCAATAACAAAGTCTATGCATTAAACTTCGTCACTTCACTTGAATTATTCAATTTATGAAATAAAGTTTTACGGATTGTATTCTATATTTGTCAAACTAGTTGCAAAATAGTACTTGTAAATAAATTCACCGACTGCGTACGAAATAATTTCATAGATCAGTACAGGTGGTAGCACTGTCATTAATATCAAATATTATGAATCCTCTAAAAACAGAAGAAACCATGCACTCATAAATAATATTATGAAATAAAATAATATTGAATTTATTAAGTATCATTAATATCGAAATATAACATAAATAAGTTAATAAAATGTTCTACCGGATATGCTGAAGAGTACAGCGTCAGCAGTTACCAACATAAAATAACATATTTTTTTTGTCTTGCTTGTTGAAAAATATGTAACTCCACAGGTTATAAAATTATTGTATTATTTAATTTAACCTAGTATAATATTATATTATGTGTGATATAACTGAATGTTTATTATTCATCTATGAATACAATCGATAGATAATTTTTAAATGTCTTAAAAATTAAGGAACATTATTTTTAATAGAATTTAAGTAAGAAACTAAAAAATGGCGATTTTTATAAATTAATTATATTTTATTAAAATGGACGTATGATATTACTTTATTATTTAAAATGAGATATACGTTTTACATTATTTTTCCTTGTTTTCTGTCTCTCTCTCAGCTCTCAATTTTACGTCACTAATTTTTTTTCATACGGTGAGACTGTTATACTACTACTAACTCTTTAATCTATGACAAAAAATATATCTATATGGAGTGAACAGAACAAAGTAATTCAATTTTAACGAATTGATTTTTATTTAGTTCAAAAATTTTAGCTTTTTCATTAAGTTCAGTTTTTTATTCAGTTAAAATTTACAATACCATTATTTAGCCGTTCACATTATCATTCCCGTAGCCACGCCCTCTTAAGTTTTTTTAAAAGAAAAATAAACAAAGTAATTATGTGGACTTTCATAGTTAAAGGTTAATCCTCATCAGCACAGACCAAGAACAACAATTATCAGTTTAAACTAAATTTAAAATTATTAATAGACTGACATATTATAAATATTATTTTCGATATTGACAGTTTCGTTTATTTTTATTCATGGATGACAAATAAAAGTTTTATTTCTAGAAGCCACTAAACAAAAGAATTGAATGGATTTGTAATATAGGCTCTATCTATCTTCTTCTCAAGACAGGTAGGTACTATGTTACTCTCGGCGCGGCTACATTAGCGCGCGAATATTCGTGTCGCGTTGGCGCGATAAAAACATCGTGTACGGGTAGGTATACCATACGCGATGTTCGTGTCTACTTAAAAGCAGTCAATGTGTTCGCCTGTTTCGCGGCCGATGTAGGCGATAATTCTTGCGAAGTGGAAATTGTATTGTATATCGGTAAATTATAATTTATTGTGGTGCGAATACCATGTAGATGTGAGCTTATTTTTAATTCTAACCCAGGCATCGTATACCAAAATTTTTCCTTTTGTGGTCGAGGTTACGAGGACCCCGTATAAGTTGTAATACTCTCTGTTTCATAAAATTGAATAAACTCCAATATTTTTTTCATTGCTCCAATCCATACTTTAGTTGCGTCGTCACTTTCATCACTTTCATCATTTCATACTTTCGTCTGGACCATAGACTATATTGCTACATATCTAAATCTGGACTGCAACCACAGAATACAATTACTCTAGCGTGACTGACTGACTGCAACTCAAGTGGCGAAGTGTAGCTACGCAAGCGAATATTGTCGCGCTAAAACCCTTTGACGCGCGCCAGTTTACCGACAGTGCCGCGATAAGCATTTGTCATCGCCCGAATACTACTCGGCCACACTTGTCGCTAAAACACGAATATTCGCCGAATCCCGCTAATGTAGCCGCGCCATTATAAAAATCGTCGTATTATAAAAATATATTCATTTTTTTGAAGATGTTAGATACGGCACGCTGATGTTTGGAGTTTTGACATGCTAGAACCTTTAAAAAGTCCTAACATCGAGCTACTAAGTTATTTTTCACAGGGAAATAATTCTACTATGTTACATAGAATGTTTTCTTCTTTATCTTTATTTTCTTCTAATATGGCAAAAACATGTTTTATTATCTTGTATTTCTGATGGTCTTTTTTTTAACTTTTCGAAAATGCGACCCTAAAAAGAGACAAACATATAAATATATAGGATAAAGCCGGCGAGAGAATGAGATAGAATACATTGAAATGTTGCCATGGTAACCGTTGTTATTTATTTATGAACCGATTGAAATAAAACGAATACCTATCTACTAATTACTGTTAAGTGAAGCTTACCAGTTACCACATTAGTGGAACCACACCCAAATCGGTTAAGCCGTTTCTGAGATTAGCTCGCACTAACTCACAGACAAACAGACAAAATTCTAAAAATCATTGTTCTGGGTTCTGTTGCGTTAATAAAGACCCCCAATAATATTTTTTATAAAATATCTTCTTACATTCCAGACAGCGATTAGTTACAATTTTATTAATTTGACTTGACCGTTATTCGAAGCTTACGTATTGAGATAGGCATTACCGTTTCCGCCGTTTATATATCTATCCTTGTCTATCCGTCTACTGTCTCGCTCTCTATCGCACCACCTGGCAGCAGAGTGGGGATCGGTGTGAGCGATTCCCACTCCTAAAATTATTTCTTCATTGGCGTCTTGTTTTCCGCCGAGTGCAGTCGTGCTGGCTTTGGCTCGCACCGACTATACAAGTAACTCATAGCATTATAGGAAGACGTTTCTATGTAAGTTTTTGAAGTGATCGCCAACAAAAAAATTTAAAAGGTAACGATCACACCATGTAAGTACATTTACCTTATTTATTATCATCATTTTTTCTAGACATTTGTTTAGCACAAAATAAAATGAGTAACAAATACTTAATAGTATTTGAGAATTAGAAATTTTTAAATTAATACCATCATCATCTCCCTGCTCATTTCATGCCATAATAATTTAAATTAATATAAATTAACACCATGGTAAAGTATATTGCCACTACGCAATTCAATTTAGGTTATAAATCTTGTTTTACTATTGACTACATAGATTATACAATGGTATAATTCCTACATTTTAATCAGTTACCTTGCAGTGCTTTGCTGTTTACTTTTAGAATATAGGGGGTGCATTGTTAGTTAAAGCCAAAATTTGGCCTATTTAAGGAACATAAACGGTAAAGCGCAGGACACATGCATAAAATATGCAGTGTTGCAAAAGAGAAGGAGCAACACGAAAAAGGGCATGTGGGGACATCCGATGATGCCAGTAACTCGCATTTGGAGCATGTTCCTACAGAAATATAATGAAACAATAGCTGTACGGTTCACGTGAGTATGCAATAATTATACATTGTTCAAATAGCGTAAGCAATTTGAGGGTATAAACAAGTACATTTTTAAAGTTTCGTCTTGAAACTTAATTCATATTTAAATGTCATTTTCATATTAACTATGTAAGCTATATACCTACATATTTTTGTGGTTCATGGATAATTGACATAGATAGTGTAATGGAATATCTATTAGAATTTAGAAATCATTTCAGCACTGTAAACTAAGTTATTACAGTTGTAATTTGTAAGTACGTGATATGAACTGTGAAAATGCTTTCGGAAAAAGGAATAACTTACTGGTGTAGTCGACAATTTCATAGAATATTTTATTTTCATATTCATTTTCAGCAAACTACGATATTTTATAAGCTTTATTTCAGTTCAGAGCATAAATGCAATGAAAAAGTCAACACGAGTATCTATGTGACAAGATAAGGACATTAGTTATTTTTCATAACACTGCCATGGTACATGTGTATATTGATTATTATTAGACTAAATACAAATATTAAGATTGAGAAGTGCCTTGAAGAGGTCCTATAAGCTGTATTTTATAAATAAAACGTCTCCCCGCAGGAGTACGTAAAATGGTTAACCCTCGCAGGGTTAGTTATGTGGGTACCTAAGGAGTATCGAAGGTGGCACTTATACATTTACGCATACTACCTACATGCACATACATACCGGTAGTTATGTGAGACTCATCGGCAAAGGCTGTATTACCCACTAAAATCCAATCGAACCTACCCCGTCTTAAAGGGGGTCGCAGGATTGCCGGACGTTAATTACTTCTCCACCACGACAAGGTAACACATAAGCACATTGGAGGAGGATCTATGGAGACCCTAACGCTGAGATTTTCATCTAGCTGTGATATTAATATCATAATCACAAATGTTGAATGTAAGCCCCGTTTAGTGAGCTTAATATGAATATAAATCCTCGCGGGATTGACAATATACTTGTTCCACAAAACAATCTCTACAGATAGTTGATTCTTGTCCGAATGTGAGTCACATATTAATTTTCTTCAAGAGAAAATGGCAGTGAGTTTAATATGAATATAAATCCTCGCGGGATTGACAACATACTTGTTCCATAAAACAATCTCTACAGATTGTTGATTCTTGTCAGAGTGTGAGTCACATATTAATTTTCTTCAAGAGAAAATGGCAGTGAGTTTAATACGAATATAAATCCTCGCGGGATTGAGAATATACTTGTTCCATGAAACAATCTCTACAGATTGTTGGTTCTTGTCCGAATGTGAGTCACATATTAATTTTCTTCAGGAAAAAAATAGCAGTGAGCTTAATGTGCAGGTTTTGATATCAATAGAAGTTTGATATGTATAGCATAAAATTCGAGCCATGCGCTGAATGGTCACTTGCATGATATAGTTTGGTTAAATCCACTGTATTAGGACAATCGCTATATTACTGAGCCTATAATTATATGGCAAGGCATCGTCTCGATAAGATTGGTTCACTTTTATGAAGATACAAGTTGGATTCAAAAGATATAAGTTTAGGTAAACTCCAAACCTGTGAATGGATTGGCTTTTGAGCATTATAAGAAATATTATACATTATTATTATTTTTGAACATATGGATATCGCATATCCATTTATCAAATTTCTAACCCGCATTGGGCAAGGGTAGTGGCCAATAGCCTGATCCCCCTCTTATTGAAGGGAGGCCTGTGCCCAGCAGTGAGTCGTTAAAAACTGCTGAATACGTTAAAAAGTATAATATTCTATTCCAGTGGTCGAACAGCCAAATCCAATTGGTTTTGGCAAGGCAAATTATAAGAAGAAACAACAGTGTACCTTTACAAAATGCATACGTTACGGGTTGTTCTGAATTACGTTGATTAAATGTAACGGATTGTATCAAACTGATGTTCCCACTCGGGGTATCAGGGGCAATTGCTATTTTAGGCGTTCCTGCTGTGCTTGTAACGACAGGTCGCCTGTGTTACAAATTAAGCCTTAAAGAGCTTAGTAATCGATCAAACATTACATGTTGGTAAACTACGGCGTTGAAAATTTTCAATTATAATAAGGTTATTAAAAATTCTCAGTAAACGATAAGAGTCAATGTTAAGCATCGAATATAACTTAAAATATTGCATTGGCAAATGCATATATTAAGAAAATGACATTGTCTCAAAGAAGGCTTGAAATGTAGCACATTACAGTGAAAATTTATTTTAATTTGGATCACATATATAAACTACAACGGAAATGACGTATTATGATCATCGCTAAAATTGTAAGGTTTGACATATTATTATGAAACCCCAGTCTGACAGCTAGGGTAGTTCTGAAAAATATGAATTATACACACAAATTGAGGAGTACGTAATACATTATAAAAATTGTGTTTCATTTTGCGTGACATTGGCAAGTAATCTTTGCTTAAGTAACACGTTTTTGAAGCCACTAACAAGATAATTTAATTGAATGAAATTGGTCCATCGCTTGGTTATGGATTTTACCAAATGTCAGACTACCTAATGACCGATCCAGACTATATAAAAGCTATGGTGTATATTTGATGAGTCTTAGTGATATTGTTTTAAAATTTATGTTATAGTGCTCGTGCCTAATAATTGTTCTCGATTTATTGGCATATGTGGAAATATCCTGTGATGTGCATCCGTGTACATCATACGTAGCTTCTTCTACGTAAATCATGAATTTGTTATCGAGGTAAACGGCACATATGCGTATACGTATGTCATTGTTAAAAAATCATAAATTTTACACCAATGTGTATGCGAACATTTTTAACAGTATATTTCCGTTATGGTATTTTTGGCACACTTATAGAGAGGATGTACGTTAAGCGTTGTTATTATTCTAAGTTAAATATTTATCTTTTCGGATTGTCAAATATTCGTGTAAATCTAAGAAAGTATTATTCTAATTAAATAATATTATTAAAATTTTGATTTGAATGAGAGTCACTTTGGCGAAACAATGACTCTTTAAGATGAGCTTTCTTTAAAGGAAAGTAGATCTGTCTTGTTATTTTTTACAGCCTAGTATTATTACTAGCCTATTATTATTTATTTACCTACAACGTATGTTACTATCATGCGAAGTCAACCTTTCCCTACCATAGTTAACATCTCTTCTCTTGAGGTATCTCTCTATCTATAAATATAGGCACTTCCAAAGCCTTAATCAAGTCTTAAGCGTTGTTACATTTGATTTATTTATTTTTTATATACGTAAAGAGTTGGCTTTATTCAAACATCTAAAGGGACAAAAGTGCAAGATGAGGGCTTGAAGTTTGAACTCGCATCATTAAGTTTCCCAAACCAATGGGCTTCAGAGTTATTAAACTAATGGTATAAAATGGGGCACACTATTTATAAAGAAAAGGAATAGAAAGTCAACTAATGTGTGTGTTTTCAGAAGAATTTATTATTAACTAAAATTGGAATTTTAAAACACATTAATTGTTAATGTTAGTTATTGAAATTAACATGTACGTCGAATCTATATATCCAAAAGTTCTTGTTCGAGTATCGGGTCGCGCATAGGAATGTTGAGTATTAGTTTTTTTGAAGCTCTAACAGTCTAGGGTCTCGTCTTCGGACCTGATAACTGGACTGTGAGAGTGGAAGTAAGAATGAACTTGGTCATGCTAAGTGAACACACTTTTAAACCATAACAGATGGTTTCTGAAACATTGGCGACCGAGGCCGTAATCGATCAGGGAGATGTCTCCCACGTTATATTAATACCTTGTGAGTTGTTTTATCTACAATATAATTTATTTTTATTTGTAAAAGGACTTTGGAAAAGCGCTGCATTAAGTGTTTATTTTGGTCTTAGTAAAAATCTCATCTCAGTGTTTCAGTTACAGCAGAGTTTATTTCATCACATTGGCGTCCGTCTCCTACGCTTGCACCACCAGGCGATAACAAACAAGTCTCAATACGTAAGCTTCGAATAACGGTCAAGTCAAATTAATAGCAGCGTTTTACCTACCAATAAAACGCATATTAATTTACTTACCTTATTCGAAGCTTAACTTTGGATAACTGCCTGGTGTATTTCGACTCAATGAAGAAATAATTTTAGGAGTGGGAATCGCTCACACCGATCCCCACTCTGCTGCAAGGTGGTGCGATAGAGAGCGAGACAGTAGACGGATAGACAAGGATAGATATATAAACGGCGGAAACGGTAATGCCTATCTCAATACGTAAGCTTCGAATAAGGTAAGTAAATTAATATGCGTTTTATTGGTAGGTAAAACGCTGCTATTATATGTACATATAAATATTATGCACATTTTTCTATATTAACGTCTTACGTGTCTTACTTCTTCTATAATTTAACCTCATTGCTAAGGTCAAACAAACTGTTGTGCCCGTGGTCAGTAGATTAATCAAGATTTCTATTACCACCTATAGTTTCTGTATTTTTTTCATTATATTATTATCTAGGTACTAATCTTATAATTTACACGATCAAATCGTCAGCTTGCAGGGGACAATATTATTAAAATATAACAACTTAAGATTTTATAATTTTCTTAGATAGATAGTACACCTTGCAGGTTTAAAATTTCATTTTTCGTTTGTTTCGTTATTTTCGATTCGTCGTATAAATACCTTTAATAAAATCATTGCAAATTTTATAGTACACTTTAATTATATTATTTCAATAACTTAAAAACAAACATTATTAAATACCTTATTTTTAATTTATTTACAATTGTCATCAAATATAATAAAACTAAAGTTATTTTTGATTTAGATATCATAATGCACTGCGTAAACACAATTTGAAATACATACTTTTATTTATAAGGAAAACTACACAACTTTTACCTGTATAATTAAGTAATTATTGTAATATATTTTTATTTATACGTAGATTTTACCTTTATACAAATCAAAAATGACATTCACAGAATTGTTAAATTCTTTTGTTGCACTATAATATTGGCTTATATTTATTGTTTAACTTGTACTCCTCAACCAGAGTATTGACGAACTATTTTTGCCCACTGTTGGGGAAAGTTCCTTTGCACGTAGGATAGGGTACGCTGTATTTGTTTGGTTTCCTGTGGAGAGCACTGCGGGCAAGCGCCTCTAAGAACCAGTGGAGCGAGGGCTGTAATCAGAAATATTCAATTTTCAATAATACTAAATTTTGTTTTGACAATGTCTAATTTTACTTATTGTTTTATAAAAAAATTGCAGCTACATCTGTCAAATATTGAGTCAATAATTTTTACAACCTTTTAATTATATGTATTAGATTCTATAGAAAAAGGAAAAATCAGTTGGAACACGTTCCAACTGATTTTTGTTTGAGAAAATGGGAGATCTAGTAAACCTCTTTTATTTCTTTACAGTAATCAATGTCAACTTCCCAAGTCCGGACTGCTATTGAACCGAGTCGTAATTCGAACCCAGGACCTCCGGATCTGCAGCCGTACATACTAGTGTAACATTCAGTTATTTTATGCGCCAGTTTGTAGATTTTGACAATAGATTTTTAATATGTCAAGTGGACAGTCGGTGATTCACATTATATAAATTAGGAAAATATAAATGTAAAATGAGTATTCAGAAAAAGCGAGAAATATAATTGTTAATTGCCAAATATTTGTTTTCCTGGAAAATCCTTTTGAGCTGTTTTAATTGCAACTGAACCAAAGAGTTCAATAATAAAAATAACTTTATTTCAAAATCTTACTTTTTAATCGCTTGCCGATGGGGTCACATGGACCCTCCCCTAAAGCGCATTTCAGTTGTCTCTGTATGAATCTTTTGTCATTTAATGCGTCATCTAAAGCTGTGTCGGATACTTCTGGCCTTTGTGTTTCCGCCATACATACCACTCCAACCGCAAACAACACAACAATGTAGCGTAACTGAAACAAAATTTGATTTTTAGTCTCCGTCACTTAGCATCAGTAATTTATGCTTTACTAGCATTGCCCGCGACTCCGCCCGCGTGAGATGACCAAAAACCAAATTCTTAGGTTTTACATATTAGTATACTCTTACAATGGCCCTTTTTGTATTTTTTTTCAGAAATGAGATATTTTCCCAGGGTAAAAAGTATCCTATATGTTGACCCGGATAACCAAATATATCATCATACCAAATTTCATCAAAATCTGTCCTGTGGTTTTCTCGTGATGCAGTAACAGACAGACAAAAATTCTAAAAACTATAGATTCGGGCTCTGTATCGATAATAATGTCTATTTCAATAAGATTTTCCAAAAAATATTTAATTCAGATTCGACTTAGTTACAGTTTTATTATAGGTATGTATAGATTTATGATGAAAGAGAAGCGGGGTCGATTGGGTTTTCAAACGTAAAAACGTACGTATTGTAGTTAGGACTTTAGTCTAACAAGGAGAAGACAACAGTAGGTATATTACTCATTTCGCCATTATTTACTTACATAATACAATAGAGTGCTACGACCCATTCATAGAGATGAATATGATGAATGATGATGCTTGTTACTTATTCTTAGAAATATTTTTACTTAACGAATATTTAATAATATATAAAATGCGAAGTAACAATTTGTTTTAAAGTATTTTTAACAATAATTTTTAATATGCTCAATCAACTAAATTCTGACAATTATTATATTTCTATACAAAAAACCTATCTAAGATTTTCGATTTTATTTTAAGAATTCTTAATTTTTTAATTGTCTAAATCACTTTAAAATCGATAATTTTAAAAATAAGAACACTATTTTCAAAATAGTTATAAATTAAAAATTTAAAAATCTTTTAATTCAATTCAATTCTCTTGCTTCAAAACGTGCCAGTTGAGCACAGATTACTTTGCCAAAAAACCTACGCAAATTAATTGTCATTTACCGATTACACTGACACGCGTGAAGCACTTAATCGAGTTGATTACTCGATTAAGTGTTACGCCAAAATGCCTTACATCATTTTGGAAAAGAGCTGATACTCTTACACTGCTGAACTGATATTAACAAACATAGCTAAGAACCACCGCATGGAAACTGGCTTTCAATGAAAAAAACCGCATCGAGATCGGTCCATCCGTTTGAGAGCTACGATGCCACGGCCAGACACACACACAGACAGACAGAAATCGACGTCAAACTTATAACACCCCTCTTTTGGCGTCGGGGGTTAAAAATCCAAAATGTTATACAATAAGTCAAATACGATGCACGATACTTTAATAACACTGACATCATTATGAGACGTGATTAGACGCTTAATTATTGTTAAGCAACCTGCGGCGGTCGGTGAAACAATGCTGATAGCTATCAATTTATTTTTAAACGGATTTTCTTTGACATTGGCCTGTTGTTAGTTTGAATTATCCATTTAAACAAGGCTCAATGGACTAAATAGTTATTTATTACTTTGTAACTAGGAATATTGTATAGGTAATTGTTATCTATACATATAATAAAATTGTATTTAAGCCGAATCTGTACATTAAAATATATTTTTTGGTAAATCTTATTGAAATAAACATTAGTATCGATACAGAGGCCGAATCTATAGTTTTTAGAATTTTTGTCTCTCTATCTGTCTGTATGTCTGTTACCGCATCACAGAAAAACCACTGGAGGGATTTTGATGAAATTTGGTATGATGATAGCTGGTTATCCGGGTCAACATATAGGATACTTTTTACCGCGGGAAAATGTCTCATTTCAGAGAAAAAAACACAAAAACTGCAATGTAAGAGTATACTAATATGTAAAACCTAAGAATTAGGTTTTTGGTCATCTTGTATGGAAGCATCTATTAGTAATGCTAGTATCTAATAAGTTATAACATCTACAATATTAATTACTCGGGACGCGTCCTCGCTTCACTCAAACTCCAATAATTATTATAATTGGAGCTGTACAGTTACTTTTTAAAATACTTCTGAAATCACTTGATATAGTATGCTGGTCAAATACGTGCACGAAAGCTAATCTCATAAATCAGGTTTCCTCATGATGTTATCCACCATATTAGCAGGTGGTAATTATGATAAAAATATAATTCAAGTGAAAATTTCAGAGATGACTGAGATGAAAATTTGAAACCTAGGACTTGAATTCGTTTAAATTTATTTCACAGTATACTCAGCTATTAAAACGTAATTACCTAGATTACGTCAAATATAAGAAATGCATTCAAGAAACAAGCTTGATATATTTAAAAAAAATATTTTATGACCTAATTGAAAAGTTTAAAAAATTCCCAACTACTAGCCTGTATTATAAACAAAAGTAGAGAAACGTAAAACGAATAGAAATAAGCATCGATTACACAATATAAATTGATACCTTCTGATTTCGAAATGTACAGTCACCACTAAATGAAGTAATAGCCGAGACAAATTTTCTGTTTGGCAAATATCACGGATGATTTCCGGGAAAAAACTATCTTATGTCATTTCCAGGGTCTCAAACTATTTTCTTACCAAATTTCTTCTAAATCGGTTCAGTACTTTCGGAGCCGATTCGGTACAAACAAACGAACGAACAAACAAAAAAATCAAATCTTTCCTCTTTATAATATTAGTATAGATATATATCAATCCTGCCTTATTATAAATAATTATCAATACGCCATACGGCTATTAATATTCATAGCCTAGAAATATTTAATACACTAATAAGTACTTAAAAGCAAAAAAATATTTTGCTGCCAGATTTAATTTTCCCAAACAGGTCAAAATATCTAGAAACCTTAAACATTATATTTTGTTTGGCCTGATGAAGTAATAAAGGCGGCAGGAATCGCCACTCAACATTAGATAAAATCGGAAGACAACGTGAAATCTAGCTACAAGGAAAATAGAGCGTAACTATACGTAAGTACTTGTACTTATGTGTATAGTAGTTATATGGTATATTATAATATCCAATATTATTTTAAGATTCGATGTGTATACATACCTATAATAAAATTGTAACTAAGCTGAATCTGTATATTAAATATTTTTTGGAAAATCTTATTGAAATAAACATTTTTATCGATACAGAGGCCGAATCTATAGTTTTTATAATTTTTGTCTGTCGTGTCTGTCTGTCTGTTACCGCATCACAGAAAACCACTAGAGGGATTTTGATTGAATTTGGTATGGTTATAGCTGGTTATCCGGGTCAACATATAGGATACTTTTTACCGCGAAAAAAGTATTTCATTTTTGAGAAAAAATGAAAAAACTATAATGTAAGAGTATACTAATCTGTAAAACCTAAAAATTTGGTTTTTTGGTCGCGGAGCGCGCCGGAGCCGCGGGCAATTTAAAAAGAAATAAAATCCAATTGAATGAACTGGTCGGCCGAGGTTTCATCATCAGAGATTTCTCTAGTAACTGTTTTCAGAACTAACGACAGCACTTAACAGCTCTAATACAAAAAAAAACATATAAAATCTATCTGTGAAAACGTTGATCTTTATTTTTTAAGCATTAAAATTACACTAAAAAAGGATTTCATAAAAGGAGTTGGTTTGACATGCCTTTAAGTCACGGCCTTTAAAAACAACTAGGTAGATACTTATCAATACTTTTAGGCCATTTCCATGTTCCTACAGACGAATACTTTGCTTGTTAAAATATACTTATAATCAATCTGTTGAATTAATTAATAATTTCAATGTAAATGTTTTGCTTCCTCATTTCGCTATCCAATACGTTTTTTTATTACAAAACAAATAACCAGCATTATATTTGAATGACTCTTTGTAGCAGTATTAAATTATTATGACGAGCCAAACAATACGTGATACAAAATACGATGATTCTATTAATTGAATTACAGAATTATTAATTGAATATGTATAAAATTTAAAAACAGAGATTTACTAAATTTTATTTTATGTGTAATATAACATATGTAGGTAGGTATATGACATAATACGTGGCCTAGTTTGTTCCTTTGCAAATTTAGAAGTGAACAATAATAATAGTTATCTAATAGCGATATAAAAGTTAATGAATTCTGTCCATCGAAATCAGTTATCCATGATTACAATGAAACTTATATTGCTACTTAAGATGTATTGTACGTTTCTTTGCGAAGTTATCCGACATAGTTCCATCAAATTACGATAGGTGGCGTAAGAGTTGTATAGAATCATTTGATGAATTGATCTGAATATAACAAACAAAATAAGTAAATTCTCTGTACGATTAAGTCACTTTTAATGTAGGTATATGGTTAGGTAAGATCCTATAGGTGGCGTAGTAATCCATTAAAAAAATATAGAATTAAATCACATATCTATATTCACAATATCCATTGAAGCTCTATCAGAAAGGTAGTGAGATCAAATTATTAATAAACAAAAAGAGACATTAAGAGGCAAAGCAACGTTTGCCGAACCACCTAATTAATTATTTAAATTTCACAAACTTTTGTTAAAGATATAAATAATCTTGTATCCTACTAACATTATAAATGCGAAAGTTTGTGAGGATGTACGGATGTCTGGATGTATAGATGTTTGTTACCCTTTTACGCAAAAACTACTGAATGGATTTTAATCAAACTTTACAATAATATAGCTCATATATCAAAATAACACGTAGGCTACTTTTTATCTCTGAAAAATGTACGGTCCACGTGGGATAGATTTGTTTTGTTTTTCGTTAGAGGCGCACCCGAGCGAAACGCGAGTGAGCCGCTAGTTATATATAAAAAAGAGTATTTTCATTAATAATTTAAAAAAAACATTACATTACTTTAAAGTAATAATATAAGGTGAATAGTGGAACTTGAATAGAAAATGTTAGTAAGTTCTAAAATAAAATGTAAGAATTTTTTTGGTATTAAATATATGTAGTTATAATATAGATCTAATATCTCTTAAAAAAACAGCTTCATCTTGCTGTTGTCATGAAAAAAGAAACGACGGGGAAAACTCACCTTTGTTTGAGGGAGTTAGCCTTGAATAAAATTATTTTTAAACCATAAAACATGTTAGGATGACCGTGTCATACATAAAAGACAATCCAATTACCGCGAAGTTAAAATAATTTAGTAAATGTCAGTTTTTATTTAACTTGCTCGCCCTTCACCTACTTTTTGTTAAGACAACAAAAATATAGAACACTGATATTTTCCTGTCTGTAAGTACATAGTTCCTGTCTGTAAATTTAATACGAGACACGGGTGCGTTGATGTCTTTAGTATGAGAATCTTGGAGTTTGTTTATGTAAATAAATAAAAATAAATAAATGAAATAAATTTAATTTTAATAGATTAAAAGATAAATGTATCACCTGAAATTTATATAAAATTATAATTACTAAATTATTTCAGTATCCATATAAAAAGTTACAGAAATATATTTTCAAATGAACCTAAATGAGTAGTAAACTGCAATAAACATTAAGTTCGCAAATAAGGCGAAAGAGCAAAAATCTGTTTATGGCTTCAATGTTTATTCGAAAGCTTGGAAACATGTCGCGCACAGGAAAAAGGAGAATATTGTGAAACTGGCCAAGTTCTTACCTGCATCCTTATAATTTGTTTGTACACTTTTACTTTCCGTAACAACTAAATGACCCGGATTTAAATTTTCTAACTGTTTTACGAACACGAATGGTGTCTGCGCGTTGCAACGGGCGAATGGTTCTAGAGAGAATGTTTCTTCGATGTCGTAACTACTTACTTAACTCGGCCCCCTCTTTGCTTGCGAATAAGTATGTGATATTACTATGCATTCGTTACGTGACAAAATAATGGTTAAATAAAAAAACAACTATCCGGCACGGTTTTATTATATAAAAGTGAGCTAAATAGACCATTTAATAGTGGTGATGATAAATATCTTGTAACATTTGAATCAAATATTTTATACTTAAATGACACAAATTGGGTTTCCCGTCAATCAAAACAACTTATGTAATAATATTAGCAATTTGGTGTTAAATAAATTACTCAGTCTATTTTGCTCATAATATAAATAAACAATAGTAAATGATTGATATTTATAATTTAGTTAGGACAAGTATTAAATCCTACATTTTATATGACTCCTATTAGTAAAGTAAATAGGTCGATATTTCCTAAGAATTACAATAATCACTGTGCTGAAAAGACTCTACAATATAAATAAACTATTCGCACGTTGAAAGTAATAAAAATAATAAATAAGTAAGCTTTTTGTATAATAAGTAATTTAATATTTTATTACTAATTTATCTCGTACACATAATAGATATATAATTTTGCATCTCAAAATCTTCATTATAGACTTAAAAAGACAAAGATTTTGAAATATTACTAATCGTTTTTAAAGGTATTCTCAAACTTTACATTTACAATGACTTATCAATTACAGATTATTTTAAGCGGATCTTGATTAAAATTGTGATTTTTAGATGCAAAATTCTGTACGAGTTAAAATTAGAAAATATCAACCATATTGGCGAACAATTTTAGCCCACTCCCACGGGTAGTTTCTTTGCACGAAGGCGAGTGTGCGACGAATCTGACGGGTTTCTTGCGCGGAGCACTGAGGACATGACCCTCGCAACACTAGAGGGGCCAACGCTGGAAAAAATAAATTAGATAGGTTATAAATATTATACAATTAAATTAGACAGATTATAAATATATAGTGTGAGTCATGTATTTTTAAACATAAATAAACAATAAACTATACATATAATAAATTTTGGAAAATCGTATTGAATTAGACATTATTATCGATACAGAGGCCGAATCTATAGTTTTTAGAAATTTTGTTTGTCTGTCTGTATGTGACTGCATCACGGAAAAACTACTGGAGGGATTTTGATGAAATTTGGTATAATAGTTATCCGGGTCAACAAATAGGATAGGTACTTTTTATTGCAGGAAAATATCTCATTTCTTATAAATCTATACTAAACGAAACGTAAACGTAACTAGGGACGAACACGAGCGGAGCGAGGGTGAGTCGCTAGTTAAGAATACATTAATATTTCTAAAATATGACTACGTTATTAATATTAATTATTCTTGTTAATTAATCACTTAATGTCTTAAGTCCTAAAGTAGTAAATACACACATACATACAGTAATGCAAAACCATAATAGTAATCTTTTTAAGACAAATAATCAGTAAAAGTATTATTTTATTTATATGTTATATTATTTTATTTCTCGTTTAATGAAAATATTAAAAAGTTAATTAGTATTTATTATCAAAACGTGTAATTCGAATGTAATTTATATTTTTTTAATTTTTTTGTAGTATAAGTTCAAGGTAGCTAGATTTTATAAATATGATTTAAAAAATATAATAATACATTAATTAATTTATGACAGATGTTAAATAAAGGGATATTTTTTAATCTCTACATTTATCTGCTATGGCAGGTTTGATTTACGCTCGCACATCAGACTGCATTGACCGCTTAAGTACTCTTATAAGTTATATGTTTACATGATGTGTGTTTTAAAGATCCCAGGTAAAGATTTGCATAAACTAATTTTTGTAAGTCAGTAAAATATTTTGGGTATATTTCCATTCATCATTAAACCATATAAATTACAGCCGATAATAAGAAGGAATAATTTTTTTTATTTTTCACTCTACAGGTAAATAGAGTAACAAATAAAAAACTTTTTGAGGATAATATATCGTAATGATTTCTATTGTGATCGAATACTTGTGATCTAACGTTTTCGTGAAATAGTGACAGTATTACACGACCTAGAGACGGAAGTACAAATTATAACGTTTTAAAAACACGCATAGAAAAGTGAATCACTTTGTTCCATTAAAATTATATAGTTAATAACACAAAGTGTTTAACATTTTTTATACTTTTTGTTGTAAAAGTGATTCACATTTACCTAGAAGTCCTGTGTTTGAACTTAATTTGCATACAATATGACGAAACATCCTCCTTGACGTGAGGTTTTTAAGGCACGTTTATGAAATTGAATGTGCATAAATATTTGTTTCCAATATGATTCTGCGAAAAAAACCTTTTTCTTTTTTTAAGCAAGCTGTATCATATATGACATATATGTAGTCTATAAGAAAATAATAAACTCTACTACAAAAAGTGTTAGCAAAAAAATCATATGTTTATGTATATATGCTCCAGTAAATACCACCTTTACCCACATTGGTCTCTGTATTATCTGTGGTACTCTGTTAATATGCAATAAAGAATATATATAATTGTGATTGTTGACGTAATAATAAAATTAATACATACATAGGTACATAATAAAGGTTGAAATACTTTTTTATTATAGGAGCGAAGAAACACATTTCTTCTGTCCATCTGTCTTAGATACGTCATTTATAATATTAAATTTAAAACCTATCTAAGTTGCTACTTACTTCTAAGTCTGATACCAACAGGATCGCACGGCCCTTCACTAAGCGCGCATTTTATATGACGTTGCATAGTTCCCCGATCAGCCAAAGTTCTTTCTAACTGAATGTCAGACATTTGAGGCGCTGCCATCACATTAACACATAGAAAAGCTACAACAACTGCTACTGATGCCTGTAAAAAAGAGAAAAATGCATCAAAAGGGTATTGTGTAGTATGTTCCTATCTTTTTGATTGGTATTATTGTCATTCGGACATTTATTCGGTTTTTTTATAGAATAAATAAAAAATAAATAAGGAGCAAACGAACACACGATCTACCTATCGGTATATCTATAGGTAAATGGATATCGTCGATCATAGACATTCCGCAATATAAGGAGGGTTGCGGATTCGTTGTTGGCCTTTAAAAGTCCGCAAGACACAACACTTGAAGAGCCCCATATTTATTTATTTAACAACATGTTGACATATTTATAGCGCTCAGAAAAAACCTCACTCAACATTTTTGAGTAGAAAATTTTGTATAGGAAAACCGAATTTTATTAAATACTAGCGACTCACTCTCGCTTCGCTCAGGTTCGTTAAGTAAGTTTTGACGCTTAGTGTGGAATAGCTTTTTTTATCTATTTTATTTCGTAAGTTTTTTGATGTTTTAATGGTTATTCTGCTATTCGGGGTGAAGACATATCCAACAAAACAAAGATCATGAAAATCGGTCCAGCAGTTCTCAAGTTACAAGTGTTGTAACAAACCCGACTTTGTTTTATTTAAATAGATTAAATTTCGAAAATGCTTGCGTGATCTCATTTCGATTTTCCATTCTTTTTAAATAAGTGCTGTTTTGTTTTATGTTTTATTTAACCGTTACGATGCTTTCTGGATGTAACAAGTTTTTTGTAGTTTGTGTGATTCGCCTTTGTTTTTTTTTATTGTCCTAATCCGTTGTATTAAAAAGTATATAGCCATAAGTAATATTTATTTAGTTTTCTTTATCTGCTAAATACGTTTTTCTTGTTAAAAGGAACATATCGAATTAGATTTAGGTAAACAGGATACCAAATTATAAATTTTGCATATTAATATATACTTACCTACTTATTTAGTGCTTTTTTTCGTTTGATCAAAATTAATACCGAAATTTATAAAAATGATTATAATCTAAGTTAAGTAATGTTTATATTATTTTTACGCTCTATTTCTGTTACTCTCATACTCCGGTGTGACGACTACTCGACACGACCGGTAAGAGCTAAGGCACAGAAACGTGCTCTCCGAGGCACGGGGAATAAACGCCGCCAACTTCCCAACTCCGTGCTCAACTGAGGCTTACACACAGAAAGACACATTAACTTAACTTGGCCCGACCCGGGACTCGAACCCAGGATCTCCGGGTGTGTAGTACATGCTTGTCACTACACCACCGAGGCAGTTGTATTTAGATAGTACCTATGTTTTTTGGTGTGTGTTTTTTGGTATGTTACGAGACCTTTGCGAATTATAAACCGATCATCATGATAATTACATCCAAATTTTAACGAATAAATTCATCCGTTAAGGTGGATTACTTACTTTTAAAGTGATTTCAAGTAATTATACTAATTTGATTTTGTCTTTAGTAAATAAATTATTATAATATTGATTGATAATAATTTATAAATAGTTATAACTTAAACATAAATGAAATTTATTGCAATAAACGGTTTTAATTGAGAGTAACAAAAGAGATTATATTTTTATCATTTATCTGTTTCGATAGGTCTTTACTTATTATGATACGTAATTTGCCATAACCCGGAAGACACGCCTTTTATTAACGTCAGTTGATATCCTTGCAAGTTCACTTCCGGTACCTAATCTTAATATTTAATTAATTTACTAACTTGTAAGATTTATAGACATAATATTATTACCTAAACAAGTACAAATTATTTATACATTTAGTTTATTCCCTATGATATAATATTTCTAAATTAGTCATACTACAATTACATACGCCGATATCTGAAGCTAGATCATGTACTAGTAATATTCAGGAGATATTATGTTCCCAATATATAGGTATAGTAGTCCGAGGTCCGAGAGCCTCTAGACCTTTTTTTTTAACGTTGGGAAATGCATTTACGCACGAAGTGTGTGACTCACCGGCGTAATAAAGCCAGTACTACCCACTAAAACTCAACAAAACCTTCCCCCGTCTTAATGGGGCGTCGCAGGATCGCTTACGCATTCAACTACGACGCCCCGACAGCAGGTCTGCCGAAGCAGACCACCACAACCATGGGGTTGCTCCAAGGTCCACTCTGCTATCAGAGAACTACCAGGAGCAACCCACATGGTACACAGCCCCCCGAAGAGGGACACCTCCCACCGCCCACCGAAGTGGGCAACCTCCCTGTGCGTTTCTTGGCTTCGCGCCCGGTTGGGTTGCCGGGCACTACTGAGCCCCTCCACCACGACAAGGTGAACGCACGTTGGGGGGAGAGCCTCTAGACCTACGTCATCATAGACAAGTTAAAATTTTAAGGATTCGAGGTCTCTCTATTTTTTTCCTCTCATTATTTTAAGAGATCATAAAAACTCGCGGAGAGGTTCTAAGAGAACAGAGACAGGGCCAACGACTTTATATGTTGCCCGAGGCACAAGGTTCTCTCAGCTCTACCGTCAGTGCTTTGTATTGTATATACTACTCACTTAACAGCACCAACTGGTGGAATCTGCTCATCGCCAACAACCAGCTAAGTTACTCTAACAAATTTAGCAGTTAAAATGATGGATCAGAAGTTACCAGAAGTTATCACGTGAGAGGTAGAGTAATATTATTAATATTACGAAGTAATCTGTGCTCAGTTGGCACGTTTTGAAGCCATTAACAAGAAAATTGAATTAAATATTAATATTGTTTATTTAATTAGTTACATAAATACGACTTTCCTATTTGTAGATCTAATTATTAAGAATATAAAATAATAATATTTATATACATATCTTCATTATATAAGTAACTTCTTAAAACTAAAATGTGAATTTCTTTAATTCGATGCAGTTTTAGTTTATTTTATTAGTTCCAAATATATATTTTTAATACGACAATTGCTCTGCCTATTTGAACGAATTTGGATAAGTATTATAATTTATATTTGAAATTCATGAATGAAAAAGTTTCTAATCATAATTTTTTAATATAGGTACTATTTGTATCAAACCTATTTGTTAAATATATTATTAGTAGGTATAGTGAATTATTATTCTTGCTCTACATTTATTTGAATTTCGTATAAATCAATAAATTAAAAACAATTAAATGAATGCTTGTCTACTATGTCTGTCTACATTTCACTGGAAGTTGGAACTTTATCTACACCCACTTCAATTAGCGCATTAAGCGTGTCCTGGAATCCTCAAGACTAATCTCAACGGAAATATTAAATAATTGTAAAATAATATATTAATAAATACCTGCATTTTCACAGTTTCCAGAAGACTCCCAAAATCACGTAAATATTGTAAGTACTACAGTAAATAGAAAAATAACAATATGAAGATTAAATTTCATATGCCTATCATTTGGGCAACGTGCGGTCGACGTAGGGCCAGACTGTTCACAATCATCGTATTAACTAATCGGGACTCCCTCCCCTTGAGGTGATTAGGCGTCAATGTGTTTTATGATAACTTGTTACTACGAAATTCGACCGGTCTTTGTGATCTCTTTGTCATTTTACTGGAAGCGACGTTTCTTGTTAAAACTTTAAAGTAGTTAAGATGATAAGCTTATTTAGAACGTTATAAAGAGGACGTGATTATTCTCGTCTTATTACGGTTTTATTACGTTACTTATAAGTTATTATAGGTACAGTCATCGAAAAAATATGCTTTGAAGACAAAGAAAGAAAGTACTTAGCCTTACTTAATGGTCTACATGTGAACAGTGCCGATTGTACCTTAGCGCCGCCCGTAGTAAGAAATGCCGCCTCATTATCGAAATTTTGCATAAAATAGATAAAAAATCAATAAATTTCATTTTTTTATTTTTGATAAATGCAAAAAATAGTAAATTTTTCTAATTATTACTTTTTTGGAAAATAAAAAAAAAACATTTACGATAACGCGGAGATTTTTTTATCCTTCGAATTATGCCGTCCCTGAAAATTTGCCGCCCTGGGCACTAGCCCCGAGTGCCCGTGTAAATCCAGCGCTGCATGCGAAAGTGAGTTTGTAACTTTGTTTCTCTTACCGTAGCGATATTTTTACATAGAATTAGTAAATAATCCAGAAGGAAAATAAAATTAAGTTATAAATTCACCGCGTGAGTATTCTTAACAATTTTACAACTAACTCATTAGTTGTAAAAAGTAATATCAGAAACGTAAGAGAGTATTAAATGCTAAATCTATACATATAATAAAATTCTAACTGAGTCAAATCTGTACATTAAATATTTTTTGGAAAATCTTATTGAAGTAGACATTATTGTCGATACAGAGGCCGAATCTATAGTTTTTAGAATTTTTGTCTGTCTGTCTGTCTGTCTGTCTGTTACCGCGTCACAGAAAATCTACTGGCCAGATTTTGATGAAATTTGGTATGGTCATAGCTGATTATCCGGGTCAACATATGGGATACTTTTTACCACGAAAAAATATCTTATTTCTGAGAAAAAAATACAAAAACTGTAATGTAAGAGTATACTAATATGTAAAACCTAAGTATTTGGTTTTAGGTCATCTGAACGCGGGCGGAGCCGCGGGTAAAGCTAGTAATTGAAATAAAATACCAACGGCTATTAACTTTACCAATATGTCAAATTGTCATTTCATACTCGTTTTTATTAAGGTTTCGTACATCAAAAAAAAAAAAGAACTCATAAAGGATCACTACGTTGGAGTCTGTCAAGACGCTTTTTCTCAGGAACGTGCAGAGGTATCAAGCTTAATTTATTATCAAATATTCAGTTTAGCAATCCCTTGGAGCTGTAACAAAATCAAACTTCTAAGTCAACGCAATCAAAAGATACGGCCGTTTAAGCACAATAGCATTCCCAAGGAGGGTTGACGTCAGGCAGACGGCCGGTCGTAAAATTTTTGCCAAATCCTTTCAGCAGTACAGAAGATGTACTGCGCCAACCCCAAGTGATTGGGAAATGGGCAGGGAGAAGAAGAAGGCGCATATTTTGACACTCGCAAGAGTATACATATAACCTGAAATTTATATATTGTCTATAAGACATTGCGTCTTATAGACAATATATATAAATCCAGCACTGCTTATAGAACAAGTAAGGGAAAAAAAATCCGAAAACCATAAATTTGTAATTACATCACAAAATTTTTTTGCGGATATAAACTTATTTTAATGTTTTAAATATATGGCCAATAATAAAGGTTGAATTACGTTCGGTATTACACCATTTTTATAAACCTTTTATATATTATCTAGGCTAACATTACAAATGTACATTGCACAAGCTTGTCTGCTGGTTTGTTTTTCCCCCACAATGCCGGATAAGTTTAGTTACAGATCAGACGATGTCAGTGGTGCTCTCTTGGAGCTTACCCGTAAAACTAAGCATGTACTCGTATAAAACTAAAGTATTTGACTCGAAGAATCTTTATACTGAAATATTTTAATTTAAAAATATATTTTATAAAAAGCTGGAATATGTTTGCTTTAAAGTATGAACCTAGACCTAAAATCGGAAAATAACGATTGTATGTTTTATATTTCCATTATAAACAAGTTTTTTAATAAAATATTTTTTAATTTGGTGCTTAAGCAATAAATATTTAATTTATATTCTGCACAAATATGCAGCAACTTCCATGCATTAACTACTACAGTCAATAACTACTTAAAAGAGAACATGAGACGCTATGCCTATAAAGTTTAAAAATGTGTGAAAACTCTCTCTTTAATGTTAAACCTAATTAGAATTAAAATAGTAAATTATCAGTATGAATAACAGTAAAAAAATAATATTACAATAATATATTATTCAAATACACGTACAAAAAACATACCAATATTCATGTTATGAGTAAAATATAATCAAGCATGTCTTCTTTTATTATATAATAATAATTAAGATGAAAAAAATTCCTAAAATCTATTCGTAGCATGTTCTTTGTTTACATGCACCCTTATAATATTACGGTATGTCTAGTCAACTTTGTTTGTAGTAAACCTTATATCGAAATGTCAGCTTCGTTAAGACTTAAGAATAACCACAGAATAAAAATCGGCGCAAAGTACTTGTGCAACTCGCATAGTTTCACATAATGAATTACTTTGAATAATAAAGTTGCGTTATTATATTTGTTAATAAACGTTTTTCAGTTTATTTAATCGGTTTCCTATTTCTCAAGTTTCTTTCGTGAATTTATTGTGTTTTGAAATATGATAAAAACTTTTTAGATGACTAATTAACGACTTGTCAGTCAATCGTAAGTTAGTAATTAATGATGTCAGTGTTTGTTTACTAATGACAGTTTTGATAAACATATCGAAATGAATCTTCCTGGAAATGCTGGAGAATCGTCTTGTAAACGACAAGAAAATGGCGACGCCATAGAACCAGATCGCCCACTAAAGAAAGCACGCTTTGCTTGGGAAGTAAAGGGGAAGTATCATTTAAGAAATGAAACATCTGATATAAAACCTACGATATCAGTCGAATCAGAGAGAGCCGGTTCATCTTCTGAACATTGTGAATCTAAATTAGTTGGTAATACTGAACAAAACCTTGAAATATTAGGTGACTATTTATTAAAACAGGATTTCAACACGTTAGATTCGATTACTGATTCGAATCCGTCTTTATTGCCTAGTTCAAGTATATCAACGGAAAAATTATCTTATCCTCGATATATCAGTTCATTTGAGAATAATAGAGCTGTTAGTGAAAGCAGCAGCAGTAATGATGAAAGAGCACCAATCCCAAAATCTATGGTGTACTCTAATAAAGATGCAGAGGACCAGTGTATTGCCCGATGGCAAGCAAGACAGGTATTTAGACAATATAATTATATAACATACTCATATTAATTTTTTAATTATATTTACATAAAATAAAATTATATTAAACAAAATAATTTACTTACAATTTTTGATGCGAATGCAATGTAAAATAATTTTAATGTTTCAGATGGCAAAATGTTTTGTGGACAATACCATAAATAGAGTGTTAGATAACTGGATGATAGGATATGATCCACTTCCAACAGATATGGACAATAATGGAGTACTTGCGTTAGATGCAGCTGAATTTATCAATAATCTTCCAGGTGATAATAGTATTGAAAATGAAGCCATTCTTATGGCTATATCTGCCCATGGCCTACAAAATAATTCCAGCTCTAGTAGCAATTCAAATGAGCATTCACAAAATTCCAATCCAGATTTGTTTCTTTCACCACCTAGCAGCCCTTTACCATCAGAAGACGAACTCAGTTCAGAAAACAAACTAACGGACAATGATAATCAATTGGAAGAAAGTTCTAGGAATACATCAGACATGTCTTGGACTTTCACTAATGATGTTAAACAAAATAATAACTTACCATTGAGTTTTTATCCAGAAAGTTCAAGTTCATCATACCAATATTTAAGTGAATCTGACAATTTAAATAGTAGTAATATAGAATATGATGGAGACGAAAATATGAGTTCAAATGAAGATATAGTCAGTAATCATTATGATATTCTTGATGCTGCTGTATCATTTGCTATACAATACAAGGGTTTAACATCTTATGGGACAGATTATGGCTAAGTATTAATAGATGTTATAAAAAAATCTAGTTGCTGACTTAATTATATTATAAGTAGTTCATGGATACCATAAGAGGTGCAAAATGTTTTATGATTAATTATATATAGATAGAACTATTGTACTGCCATAAAATTTACTGTTACCATTTTAAAAGTTTAAAGTCATTATTGCCCTCAAATTTGAAAATCCATCTGCTTTTTTTATTAATAATTATCTGAAAGTACAGCATATTTTATGAAATCAATGGTTTTATACAACATTATCCTAGTTATAACTTATATTTTTGTCTTACAATTAAGAGCTTGTCCTAGATTATGTATGTTAATTTGCACAATTTTGTATATTTATCCTTCATAGTATACAGTAGCTTTAATGAATGGTTTTCAGGTCTCGAATTTAAACATTTTCTAAATGGAAATAGAACTAAATAAGAAGGTATCTACAAAAGCAACAGTAAGAGTAAAAAAGGTTTATAAACTGTATGTATATGTGGATTTAAGTATGAAGCAAAAAATTGTTGTCATTAATTATCTAGTTGTATTAAATCATTCTTCCGGCATAGTTCCAATCTGTATATAATAGTTAGTCTATGGTTTCAACCTAACTGGGACTATGACTTCTGTATATTTAATTTTAAACAACTACAATATTTCTTCTTCAAAAAGAGGGTGGTAACCCTCTTTTTACCATGCAATAGACGTGAAATTGTGTTATGGTATTTTACACTCACTGAAATAAAATTATGCTGTATTAAAATTAACACTTCATTTCATAATCAAAAGTTTTATTAGTGTTAGGAAATTGTAAAATATTGCAAAGACAATATGAAACATACCTAAATTAGTCATAAGCTATTTCTATACTAAAAAATCATTATTCCTGTATCATATTTTTAACTAATTATATTAATATGATTAATTCTAATGTCATATGATTTTTTTTATATATTTATTAAGGATTCAGAATCTGTCTTGTGACTCACTATATTATGCCTAGTTTCTAAGATTTAATGTCTTAATGGTAAGACTTAAACTTTGTTTTGTGGAACTGATACTGGACATAAATTTGTAATTGTTCTAATTTACCAACTATAGGGTTGCCATTTTATTGTGAATTACTACTCTTAAAAATTATGACACATTTTTTATAAAGCGTTTGTATATATAATTATAATTTAGGTAGTTTTATTATTTTAATGTTGAGCACTATATACTATCAAAACTACTATATAAAATAAAAACAAACCTATCCCACGAGAACCGCACACTTTTCCGGGATAAAATGTAGCCTATGTGCTATTCCAGACTATAATCTATCTCTGTACCACATTTCATCCAGAATTAGTTTAGATGGTATTAAAACTAAATGAAATGTATGAAGCAGTACAATCATATGGCAACCCTAAATCAGGGATGTACTTTAATGTGATATTATTTTTAACACACACTTCCACCTCATCATTTATTGGAAAGTACAAAGAATTCATGTAAATTCATATCATCATGAAGATTTCATATATTCAGAAGTTATGCTTTAAGATATTTTATACATATTTTTTTATTAAGTTTTGTATGACTTTCTTTTAAATATTACCATCTTGTTTGCTGGTGTGCAATGGAAATATATAAATAATTATGCAGCTTTTTATCATAGAATAGGACTGTATGCCATAATGACATGTGTCAATAAAATATCTATTATGTATACATAAGGAGTGTTTATTTAATTGATATGATTAATATTAGCAACATAAATCATTTTAGTATATCAATCCCTGATAAATAAATATTTTGGGACATTAACACACAGCACTATCTAATTCCATGGTAATCTACGAGGCTTGTGTTATAGATACTAGATAGTTGATATACCCCACATATATAACTTTAAATACATACATATTCTCTAAAAATATAAACGCCTATGACTGGACTATAAACATGCTTGCTCATCACAGATGGATACCCCCAGCGGGACTCGAACCCGCAACCGCTGGCATATCAAGTAGGGTAGGGTCACTACAAACAGCCAAACGCGTCGGCAATTATGATCTTTTTTTTAGATTTAAAGTACAGACACAGCCTTGTTACAGGTTTATCATTGTTTGTATAGACTTCTGACTAATAGAAACATTTTATAAATCTATTAGGTATGATTAAAAAGTATCCAGCTATCATCAATAATCTGTCCAGCGGTTTTCTCGTGATGCGTTTCCAGACACACAGACAAAACTTCTAAAATCTATAGATTCGGCCTTTGTGTCGATAATAATGGCTATTTTAATAAGATTTTCCGAAAAATATTTAATTTATAGATTCAACTCAGTTTAATTATATGTATGTATAGTGAAGAGCTTCTTTCTAAAATTTTTTTTTTTTTAATATTAATTTATTATTTTAGTGTATTGTGAACTCTTAAGTAGGTACCTTAATAAGACACTCCAATAAAAACATACAGCTAGACGAAAGAATCTACAGTCAATAAAGTAATCGGATTGGATGGAATATACTTCGCATGATATTTAAAAATAACCACTGCTACTATTAAGCTTTAAAATAAAAAGAAAACTAATTTTTGATATCCTCATACAAATATTTGTATAATAGTACGATTAATAAGGAGTCTCTCGGTCTTGTAGTTGACATAATTATTAAGATTCGATTTAGTATTGGGCTCTACTGGTTGCCCTTCTGCTTTGTGCTTGTCACCTCCGGGTGACAGTTATAAGTTCGCGTACGCGGCGTACCTTCGGCGACACTCGGAAACAGCCAAATAGTTGTGCAAAAAAGTTGTAGTGGGTGCTGTCCTTTAACTTCACTTTGATTGAACACAGACATCAAAGTGCGCTTTTATTGCTTGTTTACACGATCAAAGTATTTATCAAAACTACTTTGTCAAAGTAGGCTTTGAGAAAAGAGAGTAATCTGCGTGTATGTCCTATCCTATGGTCCTTCGTAATTAATTTTAAACTGCTTAACCGATTTTGACGATTCATATATCGTTAGATTTTTATTGATAACGGGTGTCTTATGATATAGATATCATTAAAAATCAAACTGACGGACCTCATGTGTCTTGAAAAAAACATCGGTATTAAAATACAGATAATCCGAACATTATAAAAATATTGAACACTAGAGCGACTCACCCTCGCTTCGTTCGGGTTTCTCCCTGGCTTGATTCCCCATACAAAATGTCATCCCCATAACTAAAAAGTATGCTATCTTTCCCTGGGTCTCAAACTATCTTCATACCAAATTTCATCTAAATCGGTTCAGTAGATCCAGAGATTACCCCCTACAACCTCACAAACTTCCTCTTTATAATATAAGTATACATTAAAATAACAAGACTACATTTGTTAAAGCCATAAGATATTATGACATAGAATAAATAATTAGGTACTTTAACATAAAATAAAAAATGCTCCATAACAATTTTATTATTGCTTGTTATTATTCACATAATACAAAATAAACTATGCACAAGTTTAAGACCACTGATGTAATTCTATCTGACTTTATAAAATCTGAAATACAACTTGCTATCATTCACAACAGTAGTGTTTTACGTACAGTGGGCCAGACGAGTGTACTTTGTCGCATATGACATCTATAAAGTATAAACTGTATGTCGTAAGGCCCAGTGTACGTAACACATAATTAATATATAGGTCGACTTACCGTTTCTATATTTCCGGTACCATGGTTTTTATTATAAAAGAAAATAAGAGAATATAAAAATATTAAAATTCGTCGTAAGATATTTTATATATGATTGTTTTCAATTGCCAACTTTTTTTTATTGTAACATTAAGACTTCTTTATCTGTGATGAAACCGGAAATATACATAATTCGATTTTTTAAGATTCGAACAGCAACAGTCTCCCATTGATAATTGTGATGTTCTCACGACAATAATATTACATTACATTCATGGCCGCGTATCCTAGATAATAAATTTCTAATTACTCAGTAACTGTACAATCATTTAGCTTATGCGTCGATTCTTTAAATATATGTACAAAATTATAAAAAAAACAAGATTTCTCCTCTGCCAAATCTCTAAGCGATTATAATTAACTACATATAAAACATTCCCAAAAATTGTATTCGTTTCTGATTTATGATTTCGATCACATCTGCCAACATAAAAGATAATTTAAAAGTTGTAAACAAATTTGTACATGGTAAATGAATTCCTATTTTTTTTAATGCAACAGTAATGACCGATTCGGTGTTACACTTAAATGCTTAATATTAAACTGCAAGTCTTTATATTTATTATAAGAATATAAAATCAAGTAATGACCATCGACAGATGTGATCATATTTTATTAATTTCTCACCTGAGCATGGATTTTAATAATTACTTCCTTGCCACTTGTATATAACAAAAGGACTATATAATATTATATCAGTTATATAAGAATTATCAATTTATAAATTACTAATAAAGTAAATTTTTGAACGATTTAAAACCATTAATAGATATATTTAATCAAGTTACGACATAGTTAAAACTTAATATTAAATTTAAGATTTCACTAATCAAATGAGAATAATGTTTTTTTTTAAATAAATTTTGTCATTTTATATGTTAAATTATAATGCCGTTTACACATTATGTACAAGTGGTTTGGCGAATCTGGACGACACCGTAATGTACTTACTATACATTATCACTACAATTTCATTATCAATTCATGTAACTAACATATGTCATGGTATTCATAAAATAAATAAATATGTTATTTTGCACAATCTCATTTTAACATATAGAAAGTAAAATAAATGTTATTATCAAAATTGTATAAGTATAATATGACTTAGGCACTATTTGCTGCGTTTCTCTTATGGTACAAAAACGTAAGTAAACTGTTTACAAGTGTACAAGTTTTGGTTCAATTCACACGTCACATTTTAAAAATATATTATAGTGTGAATCCATAAAAAAATTTCACATTATTAATTATTCCATAAATCATACAATTTTTGCGAAAATAATAATGCAACGTAATCAAAAAGTTATCGAAAATACTGAAACAAAAAAAAACTTGAAAATCAATAATATTTAAAAAAAAATACCTTCTTAAGTAACATTCAAAATAAAAAAAAAATCACAACCGAGAGCGTTCCAAAACCTATTTTCATGTAAAAGGTAAGCAAGTATACAAGCTGCTCTAAATTCAAAATTAAACACTATTACGGGAAATGGCACAAGATGTTAGACAGTGGACAAAAAACGAACATTAAAAAATAACATTATTGTTTTATAAAATATATTTAATATTTTATGGCAGAATGTACTTGAGTCATTACATTATAGAATCCAATTGTATTCCAAATTTAAATTTATGTTGCATGTTGACATACCAAGATTTCGACTGACTCCATTATAAATATTTTGCGGTGAGTGAAAAATATACAAAAGTAGCTGCGTATTTCACTCGATTAAGTCACAACCGCACAAATATTCTGGAGCACTCTTCAGTTTTATATAATCTCAGTACGTTATTCTAGAAACTACATAATTATGTACAAACCTTATTTTACATGCTTACAGATAAAAAATCTTCAAAAGTTAAAAAATTGACAAACACATTTTAACTCTCTTATATTTAACAAAGCGTATGGATTCATCATATTTACATTTATGTAAAGATAACGCGTTGTTACAAGCAAAAGGGCACCAAATAATAAGTACGTTATTATTATACACCGGATTATATAAATTACCTTTTCGGATTACAGTGGAGCGAAAAAAACATTTGTTGTTTTTTTTTCTTAGCTTGGGGGAAGAATTTGTAGCTTATAAAAACAAAATTATTGAATTGAAAAAAAATAATTACTCAACATTTTGAGGTTGCTAACTGATTTGTAAGATAAATAATGAATTCAAATTTTTGGTTTGAATGAATTTTTTTTTAGCGTGATCATCTTTGAAAACATTCAAGAATTGAGGAATATAGTCATTTTCTACTCAACTTTCACTGTAATACAAAAAAAAAACATTTTATATTTCAACTTTTCTTAAAATTGCAATAATGTAATATTACAGTGAAAGTTGGGTAGAAAATGACCATATTCGTCAATTCTTGAATGTTTTCATAAATGATCACGTGAAAAAAAATGTACCATTAAAAAAAAATTAATTAATTATCTTAAAAATCAGTCAGCTACTTCAAAATACTGAGTTGAAATTTTTTTATTTCAATGATTTTGTTTTTTTTTATAAGCTACAAATTCTACCCCGAAGCTAAGAAAAAAAAACATATTTTTTTTTCACTCCACCCTAATGAACTATATATAATTTTACATACTTTATTTTACAAACAAGATTTTTCCTGTCACTAAAAACATTTATATCTTTCATAGTGATGCAATAATATTTTTAATTCGTTGACACATCTAACTCCACTGTGTGAATTGAGAATAAGATAATGAAACTATTTTAATACAATTTAAGAATGCATACTTTAAAATATTTTTAAAGTACCTAACAATACCTTGCTTATTCTTTATATATTGCTTCTATAAATTAAAACGAACTTAATTAAAAAAAAATACACATTACTTTTTGTAAAATAATAATTGAGGCATAGTTCATATAATCCGGAATCATATATATTAGAGCGAAAATAACATTTATTTACACAAGATAAAGTATTAGTAACAATCCTAGTAAAAGCTTCTGATTAAGCTAATTACTTTTACACAATGTGATATATTTGTATGGTGAATTTAAGGAATCCAATGTTTGATTTAGAAATATGTAGTTATAAAAACAACATAATTTTTTTCTAATATGAAATGAGTAAACCAAAAAGTCTGTAAATAAAAAAAATGTTATATCTCATACATTAAAATTGTTGTTTTCAAATTTCTGATAATTCCAGATTTTGTCATTATATAAAAAAAATTAAGTCATTAATGTTTTTGTAATTGCATAACCAAAATTGATGAAATTATGGTGTGATTTTGTCATACTGCATAAAACTAGTATAACTGCAACTTTCAAGATGTAAACATAATGTAGAAAAGTAATATCTATTATCAAATTCTGTCTATAACCATATTTTGTATAGGCCCTTATTTAAAAACTTTAAAATATTTTTTTGAAGTAAAACTTCTTCAGGCGTGACTGAGTGGTAAGTCAGATGGGAAAGTTAAATTTATTATTAAACTAATAATTTTATAAATATACTTATATTTTGATTTGTTTTAATTTAATTGTGGTATCTGCCACAGGGCCAAAGAAGTTTTATTTCAACCGCATGTACACACACTCATTTTTTTTACATATAAATTAAAATTGAACTGTGTGGTAAAAAAAGTATTAAAAAATATAAAAGCAGATCAGTAACTAATATTATTAAATTAACAATTTTTAAGGGCCCTTCTCTATTGAAAAAGTTTTGACATTTATTTTTCTACTTCACAATTATTATAAGGCGGAAGTTTAGACTTAATAATATAATATATTTACAATATGCACAGAGAATAAAGCGACACACACAAAGGGCCACAAAACTATTGGCCAACATCATATTGCTTTTTTCCAATATTTTATTTTACTATATCATACTTAGCTGTCAGTTTTGTAATTTTTTTTAATAGTAGTTTAATTTTGTTAGTAAAATACTAAATTCTTTTTTGTTTATGGCAGCTGTGTATCATATAGCAAATTTTATATGCTGGTATTACTTTCCTAATAAAAAATCACATTACATTGCTTCAACAGATATGCCTAAGCAAAAAGTGGTTCATAATTTTAGGGGAAAAAAATTAATTCTTACTGACCAAAAATTATGAAAAAATACTTCTTTGTGATGACAACACCATTTAAGGGCAATATAATGAATTATCTTTGATAGGTAGTTTCTCTAGTTTGCCAGTTTTTTTCAAATAAATGGCGACGTGTGCGCTTTTAGATCTAGTATTAGATGAATTAAGAAATTATCAAAAGACATTTTTATTTTATGTGCCAATGTCACACTTTTAAGGGAAAGAATGTTTCCATATCAAATACAATAAGTAACATTATTTACTTTTCATATACATATTTCTATTAGAAGTCTCAAAACAAACATAACTGTGACATTGAATTACCTTACTGATTTAATAAATAAAACAGACTAGCAAACTGTCTGCAATTACAATTCAATTCAATTGCATATCAATTATCGACGTTTTCCATCAGGTGTAAGCACACTAAAACTCTATCCATGAGATCTATCTTAGATTTTCGTACGTTCCAATAAATAATAGTCCATACATAATGCAGTGAAATAAATATTTGTGATGAGATTAGCGACTCACGTGGGCAGGGTTTCAGCGAATCGCTATGGTTTGAACTTAACAAGGGGTATGTTTTTTGAATGTAGGCACTTATCGCACACCCATTCTGCGTACACTTCTGCAGTAAGCAACTGGAAAGCTGGTTCCGTCAAGCCTGTACATCCCCTGGAAGTATTATGAACATAATATTTATGCAATTTCGTAATATTAGACTTTTTTAGGTGAAATATCAATTAGTTTGTACTTAATGATAAGGCAAATTTTAATATAATTAGCATTTTTATCTTTCTACTATATCAAACACCATTTAGATTAGCTAATATATTATATAACATGTCCATACCACAAACAAACAAATTATATTGTTTATTTTTATTTATTTAATAAAACCTATATAAAAACAAGCTCTAGTTAAGATTCATTATATTAGGTCATTAACTAAATATTTTAATATATATATAAAACAAAGTCAGGTTTGTTACAATACTTATAACTCGAGAACTGCTGGACTGATTTTTATGATTTTTGTTTTGTTGGATGTGTCTTCACCCCAAATGGCAGAATAATTATTAAAATATAAAAATGTTTGAAAAATAACTATTAAAAGAAAAAAGGTTTGAAAAAAGAATCTATTCCATACTAAGCATCAAAACGTACCTAGGGACGAACCTGAGAAAAGCGAGGGTGAGTCGCTAGTAATTATTAAAAACCAAACAGTACCCTATAATCATGCCAGATTTAACCTTGGTAAAAATATCTAAAATATAATATGTACCATTGTTGTATACATCATTACAAGTATTAAATTGTTATCAAACTACAGTCTGCCAATAGTTATAATTAAAAAATATATAATTAACCTTATCTTAAACTGTTTGTACTGCAATGTTTGTGAACATTTTTAATATTCAAACCAATATATAGTTAAGTATTATCATTTTATCAATTTATAAATAATTGAATTAGGAATATTAATATATTCTTACCTGTGGAACCAAAAGTTGCATCCAGATTCACATAATATTGCCTGATCATTATCATGAACTTCCTTATGGCATACTCCACAAGGGTATATGGGGGGAGCATTTGGATTTTGTGGATTGAACACCATTGGTTGATCCGGAGGGTACACTTTTCCTGCACTTACTGGCATAGGCTTAGGTCCAAACATTCCCATACTTTGACCCATAGGGCCTACTCCTTGTCCTCCTGGGCCTCCCATTGCCATGCCACTCATTCCAGCGAGAGGTCCACAATTTCCCATATTACCAGGTCCAGGACCCATTCCCATTGATCCACTACCACCCATACCCATTGGTCCATGTCCCATGTGATTGCCTGAGTATGGTGGTCCTGGACCCATTGAAGTCATTGACCCATTGCCACCCATTGGCCCACTTCCCATACCCGATCCCATCGGGCTCCCGTGCCTCATAGGCCCACAATGTCCAGGACCCATTCCTCCACTCTGCATTGGGCTTGGTGACATTATTGAACTACTGGGACCCATAGAACCATTTGAACAACTAGGCCCCATTGGACCATTCATTCGTGGGACATTCATACCTGGACCCCCGCCTCCCATTGGTCCATTTATAGGACCATTTATTGATCCACCACCAAGTGGACTATGCATAGGTGGCCCCATTGGGCTATTACTCATGTGACTACCAGCCATTGACCCCATATTCATAGGACTCCCCATTGGTCCTGATGACATTGGTGACCCCATAGGCATAGAATTCATTGGGCTCATTGGACTCCCCATTGACCTAGATGTGGGCCCCATACCAGGACCCATGTTGTGATTACTCATGCCCATATTTGGGCCACCCATTGGAGACATACCACCCATGTGTCCCATAGGACTCATATTACCCATAGGACTTATTCCACCTCTCGGTGGCATTTGCTGGTTCATGGGACTCATAGCATGAGGAGCTAAAGGGCTCATGTGTCTCATTGGAGGTCCGCCCATACTATGACCCATAGGACCCATCATTCCCATCGGGCCATTTTGACTCATCATAGGGCCATTCTGGCTCATCATAGGACCATTATGTGATACTGTGGAAGGTGAATCATCAAAGGGGTTGGAAGCCACTATTGTGTCCCCATATCCTGTTAATGGTGGTGGAAGTAAATCTTGGGCAGTTGGTGGTGGTTGAGGTGGTGTTAAAGCATTATTAGTATTTGCAGTTTTTCTTCTTTTTTTAGGGTTGCTTGGTGCTGGTGCGGGGGGTGTTGGAGTATCCATTGGAGGCTTAAAATCTGGAGGGCCTAATCCTGGCCCTGGCAGCCTATATGATGGCATACCTGCCAGGTTGTGACTCATTTTGCTATTATATCTTTCCAGCTCTAACAACCATTATGAGGAATTGTAGTCTAAAAAAACTACTTTAGAAAATATATTCACACAAAAGGCACCGCATTGTCACGAGAAAGCGCAATAACGTGCCGGAAGACTGGTTGTGTCTATTTCTGTAACAAAAAAATATATTAAGCAAACAGCATAATGAGTATATATTCTGTATAGCATATTAATAATAAAGTAATAAATAAGCAAGTTGTGTTTACTATGAAATTCTCCTGGCGTCAATGATTACGCTACGAAGCGCAGCATAAGCAGAAACATCAGTAACCTGCTCATTATAAATGCATAAAACTACTTGGCTCACTCGAATTAAGGAAATAATATCACTATTCACGAGCTATATAAGAAATAAAAATATAAAACTTACTGCATTATCAATTTAGCATCAGAATTACTGATTATTTTTTTGTCCTCATCAAGACCCCAAGGCAGGCGTGCAACATATGACAAAATACCAAAAGTTAACCACTTCTTAACTCCAGTTCTTGCTGTCCACAGAAGGGTTTTAAGTAGATTATTGTTTTAACACATATAAAGAACACTTATTACAAGATATATCAGTCCATTGAATGCATTTTTATTTACGACTCACGATATACCAAACAACACACGCCACATTCACGATGTATTTTTATCAGAAAATTGCCGCTAGGGGTCGTCCTCAACTTTTTTAGTTTATTTATTGACTAGGCAACAAAATAAAATTATTCAACCTAAAATTTTTATATTAAATTATATTTATAGTAATAATTTCTTAAAATATAATTATAAATAAGATCGATTTAAAATAATAGATACATATAAAATTAAAATTTATACGCGTCAATTAAGTTTTACCAAAACTTTCGTCTGACACTTCACACTGATAGTGATAACTGTCATAATATGGTAATTGGTATCTTGAATCTTCATTTTTCATTCAAATCTTATTATTATGTATCAATTATTTTAGGTTAGAACTTTGGATTTGTATTTTGTAACTTGTTATATGTTATTACGAATGAATTAGTGAAATTTATATTGAACACTTTATTTAATTTCTATAAAATTCTGCAATGGCTCTAAATAGGCTATTCGCAGGTCTAACTATAGCATTAACTCCCAGTGTAATTGGAAGGAGAGGTATTCAAGTTGCTGCAGTTAACTATGCTAGTAAACCTAATTTGGTTAAACCAAAACCTGGATTTGGTAAAAGTTATAGAAGAATAGTACATTTTCCTGAAGATTACACTGTTAAACCCTTAGAAGTCACTAACCTAGCAGGCCGAGATCCCGTCTCAGGTATAACGTAAATAAATTGGAATTCATTTATTTACTTATTCACCTAGTTTGTAATTACAATAATATCTTAAATATTGTAGGAAGAGTTGTTGCCAAGGGTATTGGTGGAGGCATTAAGCATAAATATCACTGGATTAACTGGATTAGAGACGGTCCTTCAGAAGGTCCTCCACAGGAAGAGAAAGTTATTCAGGTGATTTACGTTATAACATCTTCAGCAGTCTTATAACAATACTGTATAGAGAATATAACTTATAACTTTTGTATGTATTAAAATATATTTATTTTTCAGGTATTAGAATGTGGTTGTAGAACTGCTGATGTAGCATTAGTGGCAGTTGGTGATAAATTGAAATATATTCTTGCAACAGAGAATATGAAAGCTGGAGACATAATCAGATCTTCTCGTCATCTACCAAGGATACCAGGTTTGAAAGATCTCATTATAAATTATTAGGTAATTAGTATGCAGGGTATATGTAGATACAATCCCTACCTACAACCAGTCAGATTGCTATCCCACTATTCTGTGATAGTGAAAAAAAATCGAAACACTATTATAAACTAGGGCTCTAATATATGTAAATACACACTTGGACACTTTAATATGTCCCTTACACTGTAGTGAATGACATTTAGTCTAAAGGGCTCTACTTATTACATTATTAGCCTTTTAAATAGAATTTTTGTTGCAACATATAAATGTATTAAATGCAATATAATATGTTCATTTCAGTAAGAGCAAATGAAGGTGATGCATATGTATTAGGAGCACTTCCAACTGGTACAATTGTTCATTGTATTGAAAAGGAACCAGGTAAAATCAACTTATTGTGCTATCATAATTCATTTTATTCATTTATTGTCTACATGAGTATAAGTATAGCTAAACTGTGTCAATGTACATACTTTAAAAATAAACAATAATTTATTGGTTGTTATTATTAAATTATTATAAATTATATCTGAATAGTCCGACAAATTGATAAGCTTCTAAAAGATGTACTCAATTCAATATATCAAATATGTATAGTCAAAATATTATCTAAAATAGGTGTAAAGTCGTTGAGTTGCAGAAACCAGCTCAAATATACCATAGTCAAAATATATTTCTTTTATCAGTGTTTTATAAATGGCACTGCTGCATTGCAAGCATGCTGAGTATGCAATTTGCTAAAAAGGTGAATTTTTTTTTTATATTTTGCTATAAATTATTTCAGGCATGGGTGGACTTTATATACATGCAGCAGGAACATTTGGCACGATTCTGAGGAAACAAGATGATAGAGTGATAGTTCAAATGCCATCAAAGAGACTATTTAGTTTTGATCAACACTGTATGGCCGTAGTTGGTATGTATTGTATATAAGTAAAAAATGTATACTTATTAGAGTACTATCAGTGGTGAAAAAAACCTAAACATATATTTAAAAATATATATATAATGATAAATATAAGCTTATAACAATGTCTATTCATCTAATTCTAAAGAAATTACTATTTGCAGGACGACTCTCAAATATAGAACATGGTAGTACACCAATTGGATCTCCTCAAAGAAACAGGTGGCTTGGAAACCGACCAAGATCAGGTCTGTGGAAGAGGAAAGATGGCAGACACGGTAGAAAGATTAAACCACCAAAACCAGTGAAGGAAATACGTCATCCCACGAAGTTCCCATTGCCAGCTATACAAATGTCTATGCATCCTTAATTCTGTTCAATTTAATGAATAAAATACATTATGTAGTGTTTTTGTGATTCATACTATATCAGTGCAGTTTAACCCCCCCCACCCCCCTCTTCCCCACATATTTTTGATGTGAAACATCTATTGGCGTGCTTGCTTGCTTACTAAAACCCACCACTCTCGACTCCCATGTGCATATACATGCTCCATTGTTAAATAGTCTATTAAAAATACATATTTTCTATTTATGAATATACATATTCTAGAATTATTATAGTTAAAATAATAATAAAAATAAATTGATTTTAGTAACGAAATAATTTTACTCCATATTTCGTTATAGGTTTTTATTAATTATGAATTCTAATGTTAACATAGATGTTTCACATCTGCTAGGCGTCCAGTGACGGACATTTTTTTTCTTATAAAGTCTACAAACTTTATATGAGAATGCAAGGAACAAAAAAGGAAAAATCATAATTCATAATTAATGTTATGTGTTTATTTATGTTTCTTTAATGCCAAAACGAAACGAAGCAGCGGATAGATGAGTACTTTTTTTATACAAATAGATACAAGGCTAATAAAGAGTGATGCATAACTGTACTTTTTTGTACATGAATTCAAATTAATTTATTAAAAAAACAATGATCAATATATTATTTATTTGTATTTTCTTATCTTTCTTAGCTAATTATAAAGTTGATTTTAACATTGTGATGAGAGATTTTTATTAAGAGTAAAGCAGTCAGCTATTGCGATATTTTAATAATAATGTCATAAATAATAATTATATTTGTTTGAACAAATATCCTTATTATTTATGACATTATGTAGCTTTTTTTTGCTATTTTTTTACTTAGGTGTATTTTTCGTCAGCATATTAGTACATATCTTCAGAATGGTTTAAGCCAGAAAAATATAAAATCAAAATATCATTTATTATAACTCATTTATTTATATAAAATTGATTCTATAAATGCATAAGATAAGCTTATAACAAAATGTCAGCTTATATAAAACTATATGTCCATTTTACTGAACTATAACAATAGCATTATTAATTTTAACATAAAAATAATAAGTGTAGGTACAGTCTATATATGTGTACATTTAATATTTTGTGCCAAGATCTTTATGAATTTTGATAAATTACGCTTATTGACTACCATCCTGATCTTCATCCGATAACGTGAGTATCTGTAAATAAATCATAATTTTAATTTTTCTGTGACTTTAAAGGTAAAAACGGAACAACTTGAACGTAGGATATCTTAATTCAATGGAAAATTCTGTAAAAATTAAGATAGTATGGCTTCCAAAATACTTTCAATGAAAATTATTTTTAAGATATATTTATTAGTTTTTGAGATACGAAATAAGTATTTTAGACGCACGATTTCGACCGCAAAAATACTATTTTTCATAGAAATATACGTACTTTGAAATACAATTTTATTTTTGCAGTTAATAAAATGAATATTGTAAATGGGTAACAAATTAAACAACGTGTTTAAACATAACGTAAATTTAAAGTTTAATGCTACAGAACCCTCGATATTTTATTTATTTAATAATCACAAAATCACTTTTAAGGTTTTCCCTGGTTAAGGTTAAAATATACATTTTAAGAAGAAGCCAAAGTTGGATTTAGATTATTTTTATTTACTTTTAACAAAACTAACAACACTAGTGTGTAAATGAAAAAAACTTTCATTGTAAGATATAGATAATAATTTTCACAAGTTTCATACTTACATCAATCATTTCAGCAGACAATTGTAGCTCAGAGAGACCAGTAATTTCTTCCAAATAGGTTCCACTATTGAAAACTTTAAATAGGAACTCTATGCCCTCCTCTCTATACTTGTCTATGACGGTGTTAGAACAAGCAATACACTGTTTGAATTTAGAACATGTTGGTAGCATTGTTTGGTATGAATGTAGAAAACCTCGTATGGAATGTGGTACTGCACCTAAAATTCCTTGCTCTTGATTCAGTTCCTCATTTTCTTTTTGATTTAATACCGCGGGTGCATTAATTCTAAAAAATATTGAATTTATAGCTTTAGGGTTCACTGAAATATATATGTAATTCGTTTAAATTATTACAGTGAAACGTTTTCCATGCTGCAAGGGCAATGCATCAAGAATATTTTACTTTTAAATTGAATATTAATTTATCCCAACAGTATGTATCTATTGGTATTATATTTAATGAGTCCTTTATAAAATATACCTATTATTATCAATACTACATCATAACATATTATGTATTATTAGAAAAATTCCTCAACTACTTTGGGGTGCGAATTGTGCAATATTTCATCTAGACCAATCGGTTTAGACCGCATTGTTTGCTAGTTACTTAGTGTAGGTATTAAAGATTTTCAAGTATATAGATGATAAAGATTTTTCCACAAAGTATATATGATAAAGAATTTTCCACAAATTATTTATTAGATATGTTTTAACTATTATTATGGAATAGATAGTCGATCCCTTGCTCTGTTAATAAGAAAAAACAAATTTATCCCACGGGAACCGCACATTTTTCTGGGATAAAAAGTAACCTATATACTATTCCAGACTATAACATATCTCTGTGCCAAATTTCATCCAGATCCGTTCTGGCGTGATTGAGTAACCAACATCCATCCATTTAAACTTTCGCATTTATAATATTCATGGTATTATGGGATTATAGGGATCGAAATAAATACAATACCTTAAAGGATGTTGCAATAAAGCGACAAGTATTTCCACCGCAAGCGCGCCGGCAATGGCGGCGACGCCGGGCCTAGTCACCGTGCACTGCTGGTCTAGTGTACGGTCTTTTAGAGACTGAAACGGATAGTACTATATAAAAAATATACTTAAATATTATCATCTCAGTGGTAACGCGTTTGCTTGGGACACCAAGTGAAGCGGGTTCAAATCTTTGATATTCTTAACTGAGAATCATTTACAACATGAAAACAATTAGGTATACCGTATATATAATAGGGGACTGATAAGTAATAAAGATAATCTTTAAACGTATCTGAATTAAAATAAGGTAGATATAAAAATATAATATATCGTCAGTTAAAAGGAGAAATTGAAAAAGTCAAATTTGGATATTTTGGAACATGCTTATGCCTATGATTCAATATATATCTATAAGTAACAATAGTAAATTCTCTCATATCTATATACATTACACATACGCAAAAGTATTTGTGATTTATTTATCTGTGTTTTAATAAATAGTAGTAAATATTGCAAAAAAATTTTTGGATATCAGAAATATATGGTCTTTTGTTATTTCCGTTTCATTTTCAGATATTTTTTAAAGCAAGGACGTAATGATTTTACGTATGTTTACGTAAGTGTGTTCCCTTTTAATACAGAGATATCCTTTAAACTTCTGCCATTTAAATTGGATAATTACGTCACAAAAAATGTCACTTACATTTCCAGGTGCAGTGACGTCATTACAAAAATAACACCCAAGCTGTTCCCCCGACACTTGACAGCTATCTATTGGAGTGTCTTGAAAGTCAGATCTGATACCATGTCTCATCACCAAATAACTGTCGAAGCCTAATGCTGCGTTAATAACTATCTGAAATAAAAAAAATGTAGATTATAGTTATTAAATAAAATCCGTCAAGTGGAAATTATCTTGGGTTTCTGAACTGTTCAATTGGTATATATTGTTTTTGTAAGTCTTATTAGCGTCCGGCAGTTCATCCGGTCGCGAAGCCAAGAAACGGACAGGGAGGTGGCCCACTTCGGTGGGCGGTGTACCATGCGGGTTACTCCTGGTACTTCTCTGACGGGAGAGTGGACTGTTGGAGCAATCCCATGGTTGTTGTGGTCTGCTTCAGCAGCCGTCGGCAGCGTCGGGGCGTCGTGTTTGAGTGCGTAAGTGATCCTGCGACGTCCCATTAAGAGGTGAGAGGTCTTATTGGGTAGTACTCGCTTTGCCGGCGAGTCCTACACCTCGTGTCTAAACGCATTTCCCAACTTTAAAAAAAAATACCTCGTATGCCACATACTGGCCACTAAAATAATGCCGTCGTACGAATAATAGTGGAAGGTAGAGCATGACGCTGTTATATTATGTATCCGTTTATATTTTGTAGTTGAAAAGTAAATCTATCTTAGATTAACTTTTCAACTATATATAACTGAACTAACGTCAAATGGCATACCTATAATACAATATTCATAACAATAACTAACATAAGCCTGACTAACACTTGAAACACATCACATAATGAATACTGTGGAATGCTGAATGCTGTAGAAATAAAAGTAGCATTATTACCATAGCAAAAGCAAGTAGAAAGTATTGGTAATTCTAAAACAGTAATAAGTACCAATCACTGACACAAGTGCATCGATCAAAAAAGTACTATATCAGAAAAGTACACAATCTCATGCAAAAGTTATCTTAATCCCTCCACGACGCCGTCAGTTAACAATAGATTTCTTAGAAATTTAATTAATTTCTTAGAAATTTACCTGGAGATGTTAAAACTGTCACCAATTGTGTTTAGGTAATTATGTTTTCAAGTTAATGTAATTAAAAAAAATTATATAACGCGTGCCCAAATGTTTAAATGAGGGCTCATTCTGTGAGGTGTTTTTGCTGATTGTGTATCAAGTACTTACTTTTTTGATCGATGCACGTGTGCTATACTTTACTTGAAATGTTAACTGAACAATAGGATAAAATAATACCTTTTTGTTACACGCAGCTATAAGAGTCGGCAGCCATCTTGCCTCACGCGTGTCCAGAAGTAGGAAGATGACGTCATGACTTAGTATTTGCTCAGTTAATAATTTAATATTATTTATAGATTCTTCTTTAAGAGATTCGCCTATTGGGTGTCCTGGCATTGGTATATGGAGAGTTAAACCATGACTTTGCTGGAATAAAAAACCTAATCTTTAATATTACAAATGCGAATATTTGGTAATGTGTTTGTCTTTTCTTTACACTGTAACAACTAAACGAATAAGATAATACCACGAGACCAGAGCCGCGGGCAAAAAGTAGACATTTATGCGATGAAATCGTAACAAATGAATATTAATTATATAAAATAACTATATAATATTTTTTTAATTATAAAATAAATAATAATAATTAAAAAAATATGTGCTAAAATAATCTATACGAATAAATAAAATTTAAGTATCTGTTTGTAATATCAAAATATCAGCTCTTTATAAGAAAGAAACAATTTTAAAAGGTTTGTCTGTCTGTTAGTTCCGGGGATCTCCGAAGCGGCTGGACCGACTTTGACGGCACTGGCAGGTAGCTGTTGTAATAAGGAGTAACTTAGGCTAAGTATATTTTAAAAAAAGAATTAGGGTCAGCGCGAAAAAATTAAAATGTATAAAGTGGAGAATAAAATTCGTACATACCTACGGACATCGCAACCGAACAAAGCGAGATAGAAATAAAATCATACTTACAACAGTAGGTAGAATAAGTTTTAAATTATCAGCAGCCGCTTCTGCCTTCTTTTTGCCGCCATTCAAACAGTCTTGAAAGTAGAAGAGAACTTGTCGTGTTGGATTAGAATACGACACTTTGCCGTTATCTATAAATGTTATATGTCGGAAGCCCCATGCCTATAAGTATATAACTAGTATAAAAAAACGTGTGTGTGTACTTATGTACGCACGTAAGTAGTTATACTACTTTGGCGTAACAAAGCAAAAATAACTAAAGATTTCATCCCATATGTCACAACTCTTTGTTTGTAAAAGGAATACAGCTAACTTCATCGTGTCGCTTTCAGCTAACTTCATCATGTAGCTTTTTCGCTGTCGGTGTGCGCGCGCATCGTAAAAATTTTACTCTCATATTTTTTTCCAAACGTGCCAAAAGAAGTATAACTTCAAAAATAAAAATAAAACATTGCTACATATATTACTAGTTTTTACATATAAGTTATCTTATATTCAGCTAATCACTTATATCTTCTTTATGCTATTACACAAGGTACTATTTTTATATTGTAAGGTCAATATGTCTTGTTGTAAAGTCAACATGTTACAAATTGGCGTTACTGGTAAAAACTAGCCAAATCACATGTGGAACTTCAATTTATCCTAAGTTATCTACTCTGTGTAAATAATTCGATTGTTCAAATTTAAGAATTTCTATTTTTAAATAGCAAACACTTTTGTAGCAGAAAAAACAAGAAATAGTGTTTCAAATTTATTTTAGAAAATTTCTGGATTATCTACAGAACTTGACACCCATTTAGATCTCAATTCTTTTGTCGGTGAAGTTGACCAACACGCTTAATCTTAATATTGAACTTGGCTCCCATTTTCACATTTACGTTTTTGATGGGATTTAATATACACGACATATTTTTTGGAGATATCTCATAAAATAAATCAAAAAAGACACAGAAACTTAAAAGAAGAAAATATATATGTAATATGTATATTATATACGTATTTTATACCAGTAGATCTCTAGCCACGTGACAGCCCAATGTACCAGCACCGAGCAATAAACACTTCGTTTCTTTCATCACATCAATATTAAGATCAGGTATTAAGCGCCATTGCATTAACTTTAAATTGAGATCGGATGATGTGTCTGCCAACCTGAAAGAGATACCATATTTGTACAGATTTTATTCATAGTCAAGAATAGTATATAACTATAAATAACATATATTTTTGGGGCATTCCACGTCAAATCGGAAGGTTTCAAAAAAATATTTTTATTTTCTTAATATGTTGGTATTTTTAGTACCCCTCAAAAGAGGCTTCCTGGTAAATTTTGAGGTTTTATGATCACTGGTTCAAAATCGCTCTTTTTTTGGTTTTTTGCTCATAACTTTCAAAGTTTTTCAGTTCAAATTCAATCTTTACAAAAAAATATAATATTTTTTTTATGTAAAGGTAATCCAAAACAAAAACATAGGCAGTGGTAGCCCAGCGGTAACGCGCTTGAGAAACCTTGAGAAACCGAGTGGAGCGAGTTCAAATCCCGGGCTCGCACCTCTGATATTTTCATGTGCGAATCATTTCTAACATGATTACCACTTGCCATACGGTGAAAGAAAACATCGTGAGGAAACCTGCATGTCTGAGAGAACCTAGCAAGTTTTCGAAAGACATGTGAAGTCCGCCAACCCGCACTTGGCCAGCGTGGTGGACTATGGCCTGATCCCCCTCGTACTGAAGGAAGACCCGTGCCCAGCAGTGGGACGTTGAAAAGAGCTGAATACAATCCAAAACCAAAAATGTTGAACTTCGACCATTATTTAGAAAGTTATGAGAAAAAAAACTAAAAAAGAGCGGGGTTTTTTTGGAAAATTCGATATTTTTGAATTATTGATCAAAAAAATCTCAAAATTTACCAGTCAGCCTCTTTTGAATGGTATTGAAATAAAAACATATGTATTAATAAAATCAAAAATAAACGTTTTTGAAAACGTCCGATTTGGCGTGCCATTTACACAAAAAATAAATTATTTATTTAAAAATAAAAGTGCGCGTGAGTGGACGCACGCGCGCGTGTGCGTCTGTGTGATTGCGTCCGTGTGAGCGTCAGTGTGCGCGTGCATGTGCGTATGTCCTGTATGTAGTATTCGGAAGTCAAAATGAATGAATGAAAAAATGTCATGGAGTAAATGTGACAGCAAGTGAACTACCTCTTTCCATGTCTAATCGGCCCATATTTTTTGCATTTGATTGGCAACTTTAGTGGGGAACTTGGCAAGTGAGTGGTGTTATGAAGTGTTACATTTAAATATGCTTAGTTTATTTGTGTGTGACTTTTTTACTATAACATCTCATTTGGTACAATCATATATTACTTAAGAGGAAAATAAATAAATAATAAATAATAAATGTCATAGGAAAATAAAAAAGTCATGTCTTGGTCCAGAAAATGGCCTATTGGTGTGCCAAACATCTACTCTTTTCATTAGTTCAGGCAACAAACATCCAAACACACTTTTCACATATTGTAATATTACTATCAAAATTAAAAAGAAACACAACATTACATACTTTATAGGATCCATGGAAGCAGACATGTTAGCTAGTTTAGGTCCAAAATTTCCTCTGTCATTTCTCTCCCAGCCAACCCAGCCTATTTTATCAGCTGATTGGACATTCTGGAAATAATTGCACACGTTTTTATTTAAATTTGGAATAAAACTGTCACCATGATAGCTGTTAAGCATTCCAAATGTTGGCAACCACAACTCATAATAAATCTGCCAAAACTCCGAAAAGATAGTTATATTTAAAATAAAACAGTGCAAGAAATACAACTAAATCCACACACACAGCTTATTCTGGGCAATAAATAAATCAGATAGAATAAGTAACTTTTCATATATAGCTTGTCATTATTGTTTTATATAAAACTAGCGGCTCACCCCCGCTTCGCTCGGGTTCGTCGCTAGGTACGTTTTAAATAGATATAAATAGTTATTAGCCAGTGTTATTAGCCAAAAATTGGTCCAGCCGTTCTAACAGGCTAAAAAGTATCCTATGTCCGTCTCTTGGTTCTAAGCTACCTCCCCACCAAGTTTCAGCCAAATCGGTTCAGCCGTTCTTGAATTATAAATAGTGTAACTAACACGACTTTCTTTTATATATATAGATATTAATAATCTATACAGATAAATAAAATTGAAGTGTATGTTTATAATGTCAAAATAACAGCTTCTCATTAAATGCATATGAAAGTATAAGGTATTAATAAGAAAAAACCATTTTTAATTTTTTTTGTCTGTCTGTTTGTTCTGGTTAATCTCCGAGATAGCTGAACTAATTTAGACGGGACTTTTTCTGGCAGATAGCTAATGGTATAAGAAGTAATTTAGACTACTTTTATTTTAGAAGAAGAATCAGGGTTCTGCAAATAAAATTAAAACATATGAAATTGTGAACAAAATCCCTATACCTAGGGACAAACCAGAGCAAAGCGAGCATAAGTCTCTTGTCCAAATATAATACTCACATCAGGTATGGTGACTGTGAAAATTTGACTTTTATCTATGGCACCATCTTTATTACATCTAATTCCAATTATTGAAATATCTTCTTCCTTTAAGAGAGGACAGTATTCTAATAAAGCTGCCAATAATATTCTGAGGGGCCATCCAGGATTTTCGCTATTACTGGGATCGGAGAATGCGAAATATGTTTTTGAAAGATCTAAACTATTTGGACTATTCACTTTATTTTTATCCAAAGCCTTTGAAAGTGGTACAACATTGACTTGATTATTATCTTTTGTAATAATGAAGAAAGATTTCTGTGATGTATCTAATAATTTATGGCTTTGTGAGATTTGGAGCAAATGTTCTTGTGTGAAATCTGTACTTATAATAGTTTTCTTTTTTAGACACACTGTGGGTTGATTTGGAGAAGGAAACGCAAACCAGTAATAATAGTGGAACTTTTTGAGATCCTGCAAATGAAAATATTGTTATTAATAATATTATTACATATTTATAAACATTCAACAACAGACACTACAACAACTCCCTGAAACTTAAAATTTACTTGACCCTTATTGGTTTACCTAAAAATTGTTAGGGGTAGCTAACATTAACTGACTAATGATTGTAAAAATCTGCTCTCTTAATTTTTTATATTTGAATTTCACGTTGTTACCTTATTTATTTTATTGTAAATTGTTGTAAATAGTCTTTACATTGTCATATTTTTATTTACAAATGATTTTTTTTCTGTTAATGTGATAATTATACGCAATTCTATGTGTTGATAAAAAAATATGGTGAGCAAAATACATAATGTTTTTGAAAAATATTTGTAATTATAAAACGAGAAACTAATGGAAAAAATAGCTTATTAAAATTTACTGTACATATTTTTATTTACTATTTTGTTGAATAAATAAATTATAATGATAACATTATAGTTTAATATTGAACTTGTATTCATCTTAATTAATTCAGAATTTCACAAATTTATATTATTAATCACAATACTTACAGCAAAAGAAAGAATAAAAAAGTTCAGTAAGCTGCTGGGATTGTCAATCCAAGACATCATTTGAATATTTGCCCTTATAACTTCTCCTATGCTGTTTAATAATGATGCTTTGTCAATACTTTTGAAATCTTCTATTGTGTTTTTGTTCATAAGAGTACCAGTAACATTGATATGGTTCAATTCCAGCTCTGGTTCACTTAAAAAATAAAAAGAAAATATTATACTCGAAGTAAAATTAATAAAAGAAAACTAAAAAATTCCAACAATTTGTCAAGTTATTAATATTTTTAACTTACGTATTGAAAGAGGTTCCATCAACTTCAAAAACAATGCCAATATCATCTCTATAGGTAAATCTCCCATATATTTGTTTTGTGTTCTCATTTAATTTATCTACGTTTAATTTCAACTCAGTTAAGCTGTGCCAAAATGACGGGTGAACAAAGGATGCGAAGGGAACATATTGTATTATTTCTTGTTTATCTCCTTGTGAAGCCATTTTTTAATAACTTTTATTTTATAATTTAATAGCTACCACTCCCCTGTTGTATTTTCTTTTCTGTTTCGATTTTTTGATATTGAAGTGTCAATGTCAATAGACATTAGACAGCATCTAAACATAAATTTCAAAATCAGCTGTACTGCGTTCGTTAATTTCTGTAGCAATTTGAAATAAATCTTAATTATTTTTTTGTGATCGCTTATTTTGCTTCATAATAATTATAGATATATAACTTTTATTACAAATAAAAAATATACAATATGTAATACTTTGACTTCGTTTATTGATAAATAATAAGAATACAGAGTATCATTTATAAAATAATAATACTTTATCTTTTACTTAAGCACAATTAAATCTTACTAAATTGTTTTGAAATGAATATTTTACAAGACAATAACTATTAACAGGTACCTATATAAAGAATATATTATCATAGAAAATCGAATAAATTTAAATTTGACACCAGACGTAAAATATATTTTTAGGTAATTCAATGGCGTAGAGATTTTATTATAATATACTTTACACCTAATAATCTTTCCTACTATAAGTTTAATTCAATGTAGGATTATTATTATCTTTTTAATAAATCTTCGAAATTATCGTAATTTAAATTTTAAGTGTTCTTATAAGGGTAAGTGATATCAAAAATTTATAATTAAGCGATTATAGTTAAACTTATTTATTTATACATACTAATTTACTTATTTATGTCTATTATTTCGAGAGCGTTCAAGCGATTTTTTCATACAGTATTCCTGTATGCAACAAAAATGGATTGGCATATCTGCATAGATAGTTATCTATACATAGTACAAAACAAGTCGCTCCCGATATTTGTGCGCTTAGATCTTTTAAACTACGCAACGCATTTTAATACAGTTTTCAACAATAGATAGAGCGATTCAAGAGGAAGGTTTATATGTATAATACATGCATATTATATTTATACTAACCGTCAAAACGTACCTAGGGACGAACCCAAGCAAAGCGAGGGTGAGTCGCTAGTATAGATAAGATAAGCCTGAGAATGATATTTGTTACTTTAAAATTCTGTAACATTTTTTAAAACGGAAATCCCATCTCATGTACGTCTGGTGGTCTTATTATACGTATATATTATTTGCAACCGTTCTGAATTGGTTGAGCTGATTGAACTGGCCTGCCAGACTTATCTTTTATCTAAATCTCCCACTCTTGGAATGTATTTTAATAATAAATTATACAATACAGATTTCTATATAAGTACCTGAAATAAAATGTTTCTGCAGGATTTCAAGATAGTTAAAAGATAAATTCGGTTATGGCAATAACTTCATTTGAAAGATTTAATAATAAAAATATTACGCAATCCTCGTGTTCAAAATCTTCTCATTTGAGTTCCAGTAAGTTAGCCAAATGTAGTTGTGGTGCTGATGGAAACATAAGCAGCAACAGTGACTATGATTCGAAGGGAAGTAGAAATGTTTCGCCTTATCTTAATGGAGATAGGATTAACTTGCTTTCTCGAGTGACTGAGAAAAAATTTATGCATAAAAGAACTACTGATTTTATGTCGTCTTTTCCGTTAGCTGTGAATATATATAAAGCAAATTCGGACCAATTAAGATCGTCAAAACGACGAAGAAACAAAGCGAAAAAATCTGTTTTGACTCTTCCCAATGAACAAGCTCCATTACCACAAGCATGTACTGTTAGTGATCTAAATGATTCAGAATTTTTCAACGACAACAAAGATGAAGCAATATCTAAGCCTAAAAAGCGGCGATCAATCAAAAATAGAATACCTGTTAACAGTAGAGAATTAAAAGTTTTTGATAGAGACTCCAAGTACTGCTCGCAACTTAATATTGATTTAGACAAAAGTTCTACAGATATGATAAATCAATATACTGGTGACGGGCAGAAAGTTAAAAAAAAATGTCACAGGAAATTAAAAAAACCTGATGTTTCCAATAAAATTAATGTGAAGGCCCATGATGTTTGGTCTGTCTTACGTAATATTAACAAATTTCCATTCAGGCCAACACCCTCCATGTCACAAGACAGTTATGTGTCTCTCAAGAAAGGAAAAAATAAAAATAGGCGTCACATCAACCAAAAAGATGCTAGGTACTTTCTTTATTTCCCTATAGTCCCTACGATAAAATAAATATGCATTCAGTCCTTTTTAACGTCCCAATGCTGAGCAAAGGCCTCCCTTCAACACGAGGAGGATCATAGTCCACCACGCTGGCCAAGTGCGGGTTGGCGGACTAAAAATATATAAAAAAATATATATGTATATAAATATAATAAATGTGAAAATGTATGAGTTTGTTTGTCCCTTACTTTTTAATAACAAATCAATGTACCAATCTAAATGAATTTCAACCCAAAAAGGTTGGCATTTTAGAGTAGGCCAAAGACTATTATGAGCAAAATAGATTTGCAATGGAGCAAAGTATAGTCGTTATGCAAAGAGTTCTATTGACACGAGTTAAGGTTCAAATAAATGTTTCCCACGGAATAGCATGATAATTTTGTCATTTGGTTTGGTGGTATCAAGACACACCAATATATGGTACCTAGTATGTATTGATACCAAAATGATGATATGGTTAATATAACCTCGCATTTTCCCTCTTTTACGCGGTAAAAGTCACATAATCATACTGGTTTTATCTTATTTATTATTTTAGGTATATTGAAACCTGTAGAACAGAGGAATTTGCATATATTTCAAGTTTTATTGATGAAGATCCATTTCAAAATGCTCATTCTCAATCGAGTATAGATAGAATAACTGTTATTAGTCGGCAAGACGATTATCAAGAAATGAACAAAGTTTTCAACAACAAATTATCCAACCAGCCCACAATTGGTGGTAAAAAGAATATCAGATCAAATAATGCAACAAAACTACAGAAAAAGCGAATAAAGAAAAGTGATACAAAGATTAAAATCGATGAAAATAAGGGTGACAAAACTGTTTGTCATGATAAATTAGATGTAGAAACAACCTCAAATGAACGCATACATATCCAACGCGATGAAAATTATGAACAAAATGAAAAAAAGAATCCCACCGATACTTCTATTATTAATAATAACTGTTTATTACAAAAGAAATCGATTGTAAGTCAATTTCAATCAAACGTAAATAATAATTATAAGAAATTTATTTCACCGGACTATTCAGAATCGAGTAAATGTAATTTGAGTAATAAAATATTCACCATAACAGATACAAATAATTTTGGAAAATGTAACAGTGAAGAGCATCAAGATGTGACGGGCATTACAAAAGTTGTTTTGAGTAAAGGTCAAAAGATACTTTTAACTAAGCAATTAGATGCGGTAAAACGAAAACCTCGCTTGACAACAACTTTACCTAATAACTCAATAATGTCCAAGTTGACACAAACAGAAATAAAAAGACGACTCTCTTGTATTAGATTTCCTTTAATAATCCTGGGTAAAGACCAAGTAAGCTCTAGCTTTAAAGTAGAAACCTATGATCCACCCCAATTTGAAGGCTTAAATGAACATATATGGCCATTTATGAAAAAATGGTTTCAAAAAAACACATGTGATATTTTTGAAAATGATATTAAAGAAAGTTTTTCAACAAACAATTGTAACAACATTAAATGTAACACTAATAAATTTTCTATAAACAACAACTATACTAGTAACAATCGTCACGATATGAGTACATCTCTTAGAGATAAAATGATCGATCCATCAATGGCCGTTAGGACAAAGAAAAACACCAGCAGCGTAAAGGAGCCTTTAATACAAAAAATAAAACCTATGAGCAAAGTTAAAAATAAAATGATGACTCTTATCCACAAAAAATCTGATTCTAAAATTTATGCTAAAATAAATAGTATTAATATAGATTCTCAGGACGCACCATCTATTGCTATCGATATTGGAACCAACACTCAAAATAGTTTAACAATGGCAAAACAATCGAATACAATTTTAAAAAAGGATGAAAGTAATAACAGGACTTCCTATAATAAAAGCTATCAATGGGCTAAACGAAAATGGACTAGTGACTTTATTGATAATATTATAAAAAAAATAAAAAGTGGAGTTTATTTTTATCAGGAAGAGGAGTTCCAGAAGCGTAAGAGTAAGTATATGTATTATTTATGTATGAATTACTGTTAAACATCAAACGTTTGTGGGTTTGAGTCCCGTAGCAAAAAATGTTACGCGTTTGTAAGTTAAGAAATGATAAAATTTTGGATAGATGGCAATGTCGGAGATTTCCAAATGGCCTATGCTGATAAACTATAATGAGTTTTATTTGCGAAACTGGCCTTCCTTACTAAAATCGTTCAGGAGAGACATAGATGTATTATATATGAATAAGTGAATTATATTCACAAATACAGTTAGTCATAATATGTTTTAGATGTAATGGAAGAATCTGCACAAACAGAAACAGTTGTTAATGAAAGTTGTGAAAGTTCCCTGGAAGCTGAGAATATTGGTCCAATTGTTCTTCCTGGATTCGACGATAGACTATCGGACTTGGAAATTGAGACTGTCACGAATTTAAATCAAATAGCTGTCAAACATTGTGTCACAAACACTGTCATTCAATTCGATATCGCATTAAAACGAGAAATTAATTATGTACAGATAAATAAATCCTTTTCTTGTATTCCTCTGGAGGAAACAGATAATTTAAAGATATTTAAATGTAAGACGACTATTATTAATGCTGTACTTCCAGCTGAGCTTTGTACAGTATTGCCAAATCTTATGCAGAAAATCTTGAAGAGTAATTGTCAAGTAGCATTTCCAATACCATCTATAGAAAAAGTAGACAACCATTTACCACCGATAACCGAAATTACTCAATGTGAGAGTCTTCATGCGATAAAGCATTTTATTCCGAAACAAATTGCCGGAACATCAGATGAAAGAACTTTTGAACACGGAGAGTTTCCCAAAATATCACCTGTATCGGTTATAAAGAATATTGTTAAAGACAATATAAAATGGATGTCTAAATCAATGCTTGACTTGATGAAAGCTCAAGACATATTGATGCATATTCAAATGAATTTACTAAAAAATTCATTAACGGAACCCCCGATATCTGCGTCTATTTTAAGCTTTAATTCATCAACCACACCTAAATCCAGTAATAGCGACTTTAAAAGTCTAAAAGAGCCTAATTGTCTAACGGTACAACCTTATATGGTTACAAATAAAAAAGTATATCCTGCTTTTAAGAAAATTAATTTTATGAGTTTGGCGGAGTCTTTATTGTGTCATCAATTTTTAAATATAAATATAAATACACCACTTATTAAAAATTTCAAAATTATAGTCCACAATGATCATAACATTAGTATTAGGATAGAAACTAATATAAAAGAAACTACACGTATCAATTATATTATATCAAATGTACAGAGTAATTCAATCTATAATGGTATTAAACGTCGTGTAAAAGAGACAGAAAATAAAGCCTTAGCCTGTATTTTGGATAAAAATACTGCTATTTCTGAGCTAAGACGTACAGACAAACGAAAACCACGAAGACCATCTGAATGTTGTGGAAGCAATAAGAGAAGAGGTTTTATTAAGCTCTATAAAAAATGTAAATCAATGTCAAGTTTACACAATGAGCGTTCCAGTACGGCTTTAAATAAAATTACCAATTTAGATGAGTTCCTCCTTGCTCTGGGATCGTCGAAAGCATTATCTAGCGTTTTAGATGGAAATTTGGAAAAAAAGATAATATTTGCAATAAATGAGGTAAATGCTGATAAGACTATTAAGAAACATAATTGGCTAACTTAAGATTGTGTTATAGTTGTTGATATTTTATTGTTAAGTATTAGCGTTACTTGTTTTGTTTTTTAAATTTTACTTGGGACAGTTGAATAGATTTTATTGGGATTTTTTGTTTGATTCTTTAGCATGGATCGGTCATCGGACTACTAGGTATATTTATAAATGCTACGGTCTGTGGAAGTTTGTTTGTTACTCCTTTATGCTGGAACTGCTAGACGGATTTAGATGAAATAGTACACGTATAGAGTAAGACCTGCAGAACTCATGGCTACTTTTAGGTACCTATGGACGCATTCGAGTGAAGCGAAGGTGCGAAGTTAATAGTGACCCTACTAGTTTATAGTGACCCTACTTGCTGTCGCGGGTTCGAGTCCCGCTGGGGGCATTCGTTTGTGTGATGAACACGAATGTTTATACTCCAGTCATGGACGTTTATATTTATAATATGTATATATTTAAACTTACATAATATAGAATATGGACCCATGGAACTAGTTTGGGCTGTGTCCTCCCCAACGTGCGTTCACCTTGTCGTGGTGGGGGGACTCACTGTAGTGCCCGGCAATACAGCCGGGCGCGAAGTTAAGAAACGCACAGGGAGGTGGCCCACTTCGGTGGGCGGTGGGAGGTGGCCCTCTTCGGAGGGCGGTGTAGCATGCGGGTTGCTCCTGGTATTTCTCTGATAGCAGAGTGGACCTTGGAGCAACCTCGTGGTTGTTGTGGTCTGCTTCGGTAGACCTGCCGTCGGGGCGTCGTAGTTGAATGCGTAAGCGATCCTGCGACGCCCTATAAAGACGGGGGAAGGCTTTGTAGGGTTTTAGTGGGTAGTACTGGCTTTGCCGGTGAGTCCCACACCTCGTGCGTAAATGCATTTCCCAACGTTTTATTTACTAATCAGTAATCGTAATTAGAAATAGAAATATATCTAATATCCGTATTTTGCTAAAAACTTCTTCCTCAAATAATCGAAAATATTCGTTAAATTTAAAATCTACATTTCAGATGAAAAATTGGACCACCGATATAACACCTAGACAGGCTCTACTCGTTTTGTTACTGGCAAACAAAAAGGATACATCCAATTTGATACGATACCGACCAATAATTCTTCAAGGTATTGCCGTGAACAGAATCACACGGAGTATGGAGTTGGATATGGAAATTGAAGTTATCGAAAGAGAAAATTTTAATGGCTTGCCAAAGGTAATGTTTTAAATTATTGTAACCGTATTTGGGTTTTTTCATTGAACATTTTTTTTGTTTTTTTTTTAGTACGATGGAATCACCTATTTACCTGCATCTGGTGAAAATCAAGACAATCTTTTTGAAGAACTTTGCTGGATAGCGAAAACGACGGTAAGATAAATATATTTTTTTAGTTGACGTCAATATGTATCTTAAAATTCCAATATATAGGTACTACTTATTACTTTTTAACTTAAAAGTCGGGAGCGGTTTCAATAACACATCCCCTGTATAGTAGAAACCTCGAAGTTGATTTTTTTCTTAAAATTTACGTATATGAAACTTACTATAATTTAAAAAACTAAATTATTAAAAACTTCTTTATGACATATAAAAAAAAAAATAGAGTATTATTTCTTAGATTTCCTACTTAGACATTTTCTTACAGAAATATATAATGGTTGTTTAATGAGCATAATTTATATACTCTTACACAGATAGGCATCTTTTGTATCCAGATTCTAGTCATACATTTATAACTGCTCAAACAGGAATACTAGCATTTAGACTTTACTATTATTTATTTATTAGTAGGTACTTTTGATTTTTTTTATTCTTTCAGGCGTCGGATTATCAAAAGATCTTCGATGAAACGTCCGAAAAATATCTGAAATCTTTACTGGAAAAAAGGAAAAAATTGAATCCCTCCTATCTAAGAGTTATGGCGAGATATATTGGTCTAGGACTTCTAAAGAATCCTAAATAATTTCGATGAACATATTGTTTTCTTTTGTGACAATTTGTACCTGTACTGGTGTTTTGTTATGTTATAAATTATTATATTGTATATTTATTGGTGCCATTTTGTATTTCATAATAATTTTTTTTTAAATATATATTATTTTTAAATTTTACTTTTGTTAGCGTTTAAATCCATCCCACAAATATGTGAGTTTGTTTGTTTGTTTGTCTGTCTGTCTGTCCTTCTTTCACGCCGAAACAGTGACGGATTTTTTGTGTGGAGATAGACTGGAGAGTGACAGACTACTTTTTACCGCAGGAGATTATAGAAAAAAATATATGATCGGAATTATTTGAAACTTAGTATGCTTTTCAATACAATTAAACGAATACGTGTTTTAGCATTTTTCGAAATTCATCTCATAAGGGCGTGAAGTAGGGGATGAAAGTTTGTATGGACCCACTTTTTTAGTTTGTTTAAATTTTAGCGCGAGCGATGCCGCGGGTTCTGCTAGTCTTATATAATATGTATGGATAACTATTTCACACATTCGCATGCGGTATTCACCTTAAAAGGTAATGCATTTAGCAATATTAAGTTTGTAACAAAGCATAATTATTGCTGTAATATTGTAATTACCACTGGTGAATCTTAAATTAAAAAAAAAACATTTCTATTGATGAAAAATTGTTTTTTTTTTATAACTAATCTCCTTTAAACATAAAAAAAATATTGGGAAAGAGGGAAAGACACGTTATTAAAAACTGTTAGATAGATAGATAGATAGATGCTTTATTGTACACCACAAATAAATATACAAAAAGAAGATATAAACAATAGATTTTATATATGTTATTATAGGTAAATACGCTCATTTTTAAATTTTCAACGACCTCAACAAAATGATAATTGCAAAAAAAAAATGGAAATAAATAAAAGATAATATAGATTTTATTAATTTTTATTGTTAAAAGACTTTTCACTTTTGCGGCGCACTCTGATTTGAGCTCTTGGAATCACGCATTGAAGCTGAACGCCTGCGTTTGATTTCTTCTTGGCGACGCACCTGAGAACAAACATTTTGTATATCAAAATAAGAGTCATTTAGTTATTTTTATAATCTTGTACAGATAAAGAAAACTTAATATTATTAACTGTTGCTGATCTAATACCTTAGTTTATATTAAAAATACACCAAGGGGTAAGAGACAGCACCTTGCTCTTACAGCTCAGTATGATTTCTATAAATCAATTATAGTCATATGATACTAGCTGTTACCGAGATATATAATTTTATATTTAAAGATAACCATTCGTAAATAAAAATTTTGAATTAAAGAAAGGAAAACTATATAAAAAAGTAAAAAAAAATTTAAATCAATACTTAGCCTATCTATATTATCTAGAAAATATATTCGTCATTATGTTCCACTTCACATTTGCAACTGTATATATATATTGTTATACATATTGTATAACAGTATATATATACAGTTGTGTGTTATATGTATACTGATATACAACATATTTTATATGTATAAATAAAAAACTTTTAAGACAATTTGTTATTTACATAAAATAGATAGAAATTTAAATTATTTTTGATGGAATATTTTCATTAACCTACATTTCTCAGTATTTTTCAAATAATAAACAACTTATTAGTATATTAAATTATAATTGCCTCACCTTAGATTCCTTCTTTCTTTGCGCAAGCAACTTAGCATATTCAGCCTCGGAAGTCTTGCGTTTGGCGAGACGCTTCTTCTTGAGTGCCAATCTGTGGCGTCTGCGTTGCAATACTACTGGGGTAACCAGCCTTTGGATCTTGGGGGCCTAAAGAAAATACAACAATAATAAAAATGGAGAATTTTAATTCTTAACATTTTAATTTTTCTTAATAAGTATTATAATAATTATAGCTAAAATTAAATTAATAAAATTGCTGTATTTAAAAACGGAGAGCCTAGAATAACAATATTATTTACTTTACCAAAAATTTCATATTTAAGATTTTGTTTAAATAATACATAATTAAGATTCATTTATAAAATATGTTACATATTCTATTGTTTGGCTCACTGTAAAAGTAGACAGACATAAATCTGAATCTTCTGCTCGGAGCTAGTTTTTTATACCCCGATTGTAATAACTGATAGGTTTGAGGACCCAGTCAGTACATATATCATCAGGGAAAATATGAAATAATTATAAATTAAAAATTTAAAGAAAACCTCTATGCAAATTAATTGTCATTTAACGATTACACTGGCACGCGTGAAGCACTTAATCAAGTAATCATACGCCAAAATGCCATACGTCATTTCGGAAAAGAGCTGATACTCTTACACTGCTTGACCGATATTAACCAAGCAAAGGTAAGAACCACCGCCAGGAAACTGGCTTTCAAATGTAAAACAAACCACATTGAAATCGGTCCATCCGTTTAAGGTCTACGATGCCACAGACAGACAGACACACACACACACACAGACAGACATTGACTTCAAACTTATAACACCCCTCTTTTTGCGTCTGGGGTTAACAATAAAAATATTGTTAACTACATGTTAATACGGGCCAATTATATGCAGTTCATAGTTTAATTTGTATAAATATTATAAATGTGAAAGTTTGTGAGTATGTATTGTTTGTTATTCTTTGACACCAGAACGGTTGGACGAATATTGATGAAATTTGGCACAGAGATATAGTCTGGAATGACACATGGGCTACTTTTTATCCTGGAAAAATATGCAGTTCCAGAGGGATAGTTTTGTTTTTTCGAAGACGAGCAAAGCGACTGTGAGCCGTTAGTATATGATAACTAGATTTAACCAGCAGCTCAATTCTCATAAGAACTATATTGATAAAGAATAGTAGTACTCTATACAGAAAAATAAACAGAAGTGGCTGTTTGTAATGTCACAATAACAGCTTTTTAATAAATGTACATGAAATTATTTACTGTATTTATGTTCCACCTAGTCTTTAAAGCAGCTGGACTGATTTTGTCGGGACGTTAACTGGCAGATAGCAGATGTTATAAAGAGTGACTTTGACTACTTTAATTTTAGAAAAAGAATTAGGGTTCCGCTCAAAAAATAAAAATGTACCTTCAGGGTGCACCCGAATGAAGCAAGGGTAAGTCGTTAGTCTAGAATAAAAGCTATTTCAATTCCAAATTTCACTCATAATCAGTCAAGCCATTAGAGTAAGAAGAAATAACAAATACTATTTACAAACTTTCACATTTATAATAAAAATTTGGTAATATGGAATAACCGCCATGTGTAATATAATAACCATAAGTATAATTATGAATTAAATTTCACTAAGGATTTTGTCTATTTAACAACAATGCGAGACTCAATGTAATGATGAAAAAATACTAGCCTTATATCTGGGTTTAGCATTCTCCTTGCCCTCCTTAGCAGGCAGAAGGCGTTTTACGACGTAACGACGGACATCATCCTGTTTGGTCAAGTTGAACAGTTTACGGATTTTGGACGCACGTTTAGGTCCCAGACGACGTGGTACATTGCCATCGGTAAGTCCAGGAATTTCCTGTTAAAAAACAAAATTTGTCAGATTTTTTTACTGGTACACAAAATTCTTATAAAAACAGGTTAATTTGTATTAATTTAAGCATGTGTGGAGCTAATTTTGGTTTATCTGCATTACATTAGCAATTCAGCATCACCATAGACCAATTAGTATACCCTGTCGCATATAATTACACAGATTTGACGATCTGGGAAACAGTAAGAACAGGGATTCTCCTTATATACATTTATTAGGAAATTTATTATAAATAATAATTGAGTGAAAAAATTGGCTAAGCTGATATGTATAGAAAACACGAACACAAAAAGAGGATATACCTGGGCTCCTTTGCGGACAATGACAAGGGCGAGTACAGACAAGTTGGCATCCACAATGCATCCGCGGACTGACTTACGCTTCCTCTCACCATCACGACGTGGTCTGTAGCAAGAGTGGCCCTTTGACATCAACAAGCGGACTCGACCTAAAAAGTAAAATTTATTAAAAAACAACTTTAAACTTAGGCTTTGTAGGTAAATAATAACTTACGTTGACATATAAAATTAAATGTCCCCCATAATACTAAAACGTAACCCCCAAATGTATCTGTCAACTGTGATTTACATTTATAAGCAATATTGTTCTAATAAGTACTGATTTTATTTTATAAAAGAACGATCAAGAAATTAAAAACTTACTGTTGGTCAGAACTCCCTGTTTCATAGGGAAACCCTGTTTGTCGTTGCCACCAGCGACACGAAGAATATAACCTTTCCATTCATCGCCTAGCTGGTCGGCTTCAACTTCTGCGCCCATGCGCTTTTCATAAAAGATACGAAGCTTATGCTCATCTACAACTTCGAATAACTTCTGACATCCCGTTGCCGGGTAGGAGACGTTCAGCTAAAAAAACAAGGAAACGAGGTTATAGTACACATCAATCACTATACTATTCATTTGTATTATAAACACACAACATAATCTAGCAAGTATTTATTACACTGTTTCATATTAAAGTTTATATTTATTATTATTGTATTTAGCACTACATTAGGAGATATTTATATTGCATGAGTTTCAAAGTAAGCAACACGGCATTTTTCATCGAAAATTTTTAAAATAATCACAACACATATTAACAAAAACTTTTTAAATTTAAATTGTTTAAATGGCTACAAACGTGTACATTGAATTATTTCGTTATAACTAAATTTATAAACATATTATTAAATACTTTTTGAGAACCTTCATGACTGCAGTTAGCTCCTTCGAACGTCAGCCATGAAAAAGAACCACAGTCCACAGAGAATGTTGAGCGATGAACCGTCATGTCAATCTGACAGTTAAGGTTTAGTCTACATTTACAGTATTACTAAGGTACATTCAAACTATCAAGCCCTAATATGAGTCAAAATGTAAAAATAGATATTTCAATATACTAAAGATATGTAATAAACATAAAATATTGTGATATGGTTCCTTTATCCTTATTCTGTATCGCTAGCCACCGGTCGCTAAGATTTTTGTCCCGGGTAACATCAATCATCAGTGAATTTTAAAATGTGTTCGGCTTCGAATTTTTATCTAAAGCATTTAAATGTCATTATATAATTTGACGACACGTTTAACTCAGTTTGTAGTGACTCTACTTGCTGTGCCAGCGGTCGCGGGTTCCAGTCCCGCTGGAGGCTTTTATTTGTATGATGAGCACGATGTTTGTACTTCAGTCTTGAGTGTTTATCATAGAGTATATTGCTACATATATAAAATGTTTATATTTATAATATGTATACATTTAAAGTTATATGTGCGTGTATTATACGCGTGTGGCTTAGTTTGTAGTGACCCTACTTGCTGTGCCAATGGTCGCGGGTTCGAGTCCCGCTGGGGGGATTCATTTGTGTGATGAGCGCGAATGTTTGTACCCCAGTCATGGGTGTTTATATTTATAATATGTCTGTATTTAAAAGTTAAATATGTGTAGTGTATCTACTATCTGGTATCCATAACACAAGCCTCGTAGCTTTCCATGGAACTAGATGGCGCAGATTAAACAACTAGATAATACGAACAATTAATTTATATAGAAGCATTACTTTGCTTTGCATAAACACATTATATTCCCAGAATTACATAGTTTTAAAACAACATATAATAATTTTTGTTTATGGATTCAACTTATTAGTTATCTATTTCCATCTTAGAGTTGTCATTTTAAATGACATTACGTTCACGATAACGTGATTGTCACATTACACATACATATGTCATCTTTATCATGTTACTAAAATTTCAATTTTCATTCAGTAACTTTAAATTAATTATAAAAACCACTTGTGTAGTCCAAATTTTTCACAATAGCTATTTAAAAGAATAAAAATTTTAAGTGAAAATTTGTGATTTCTACTGTTAAAGTCATTCAGATGCCTGCATAGTAAAAATATATGTGATTTATGTGTCGCGATTTTTAGCATTTTATTTGTTTATAAAACTTGAAGTGATTTAGAAAAAAGTTAAAATGAACAACGAAGAAAACAAAAACCTAGCACATAGACAGCATGTTAAATATTTTATGAGATTTCTAAATGTTTTACCAGCTTCTCTCTCATCTCATGATACAACCAGGTATTAAATTATAGTTTTAGTAAAGTGAAAGTTAAATACGACTATTCTGATGCTTATCAGAAAGTTCAAAGAATTTTAGAAATTCAATAGTTGATTACAATTTAAAGTAAAAGAATAAAAAGTGCTATCTAATAATTGTTTCTTTTTTTATTTACTTTATCATATGTTTATGTAGTATAGTTTTATTTAATATTATATTTAAACAGTTTATATGTACATTGTTTTCAGAGTAACAATAGCATATTTCTCAGTATCTGGATTAGATGTGCTTGGATCTATAACATCAATATCCTTGGATTTACAGAATAGAATAATAGAATGGCTATATAAACTGCAAGTCCACCCCAACAAAGATAGTAAGTCTCTGTAATTGTTAGTTTGTAATTTTAAGTAAGATATGGGAGCTTAGCTATGAAAATTCTAAAATACAATGTTTTAGAATTTTCATATTAAGTCTCATGAAATAATTATGATAAGAAGAACTTATGAGTCATCTATTATTTGTTGAAAAGTTCTAATTATTATTAAGGAGTTTCTAACATATATATATTTTTTAAATGAGTTACAATATACTGTAATCATATATGAATATGTAATTTGAAATAATTAGCTCAAAATGACTTAATATTTATTTTTATTTATAATTGACATGACCTATAAAATCTGCTAATATTATAAATGTATTAAGTATTACTTATACTGCTTCAATAACTCCATTTTCTCTCTATTTAGATAATTTTCTAGTTTTAAAACTTTTAGTATTATTTTATATTTGTTACATGTGAAATGAAACTTTATTCAAATAGACTTATTATGAGCACTCTTGAATGGTCAATTTAATTTAAAGAGCATCTGCGTAGTCAGTCTGTGAGGAAGCTACCACCGGCTCGGAAAGCAGTTCTGCTAATAAGAGCTGATGAGAAACTCAACAGTTGCTCTTTTAAATATTGAAGTTACACTAATAAATATGCTATAATAGATATCCCGACATAAGTCAATATATCTTAATTCCAAACATTTCCTTTAACAAGCAACTCTTGAACAGAGTAATAAATACACTTTGCTCAATAATTTGAGTTATTATGAGACATAATTTTGTTTATTTTTAATTGATTCTGTATGGTCCTAGCTAAGCACTTCTACTCTAATATTATAAATAGGTAAAGTTATTAACGTTGGATATAGGGACAGCCTCTGAACTGTTTCTGAATATATTTTAACAAATTGGAAACCACATAACTGCTGAGTACTATATTTTATTTTTATTCTGATTAAACGTTTTTACTAGTAGAAATAATAACTTTAGTTGAAGATAAAAAAAATGTGAGTTACTGTAAATGAGTAAGAAAGCAATATATTGTAGGACAAAAAGATATCCAGGATCTGAGCGAAACCAGGGTAAGTCTCTAGAATATTTATAAAACGAAAAGTAATTTAGAAGGTATATGAGTATTTTATAGCCATGCTTTAAATGTGTTACAAAGTTTGATCATGTATATTTACATAAGATATTAGAAGTGTCCTTGTTTTTACACCTCTGTCATGGATCTACTAAATAATCTAATGCTTATTAAGATAAGAATACAATATATGACAATACTCAACAAATCTCAAGACTTTATTTGCATATTTACAATTAGAGGTCTCATTTGACTAATAAAAGGCTTTAAAAGCAATAAACTTAAATGCGAGTTCCTAAATATATAAATATGTATAATCTATATACATATATATAAACAATGTTAAACAAAAGTCCTACTGTTTCTTATCTGTTGTTTATTTATATATTTAAATAGCCTTCTGAATTCTGAGTGGGTATTTCATAAGCATTTATTTCAGAATAAGCTTTACACTATAATCATTTAATTTAAGGAAACTTTGTCTTGTTTAAATAGTACTGAAATACATGATAATAATAATTATGTAAACAATTGTACCAAATTCATAGAGGCGTTAGTTATTGTCTCCATTTTGTTCTACCGAATTTGATTAGCAAGAACTAAATATGACTCACGCTACAAATGAATCTATTTAAGTGTATAGTGTAAGATTCAAAGTAATTGAGTAATGTTTAACAATTATATCATTAGAAACATACATATGTATATGTAGCAAGATTCGCAGCAAGGGTAAAAGTTAAAACATTCATATCTCTTACTGCATTATACGATGTTCCTTTTGTCAACTTGTCCCCAATTTTTTTTTTGTTCGCTTTTTACGCAGTAGGGTCTTTTTATTTTTGTAAATATTTTTTCTATTTTGAATATTTTAATTGCCTTCAAAGTAGCACTTCGTATTCAGCTCTTTTTCTACCGTCCCACTGCTGGGCACCGGTCTCCCTTCAATACGAAAGGATCAGGCTATAGTCCACTACACTGGATAAGTGCGGGTTGGCGGACTTTACATGTCTTTCGAAAAATTTCTTGGTTCTCTCAGAAATGCAGGTTTCTTTACGATCTTTTTGTTTTACCGTAAAACTAATGGCAATCATGTTAAGAAATGATTCATTCGTACATGAAAATATCATGAGGTGCGAGACCCGGGATTTGAACTCACTTCACTCGGTTTCTCAAGCGAGCGCGTTACTATCAGCTGCTATTTCATCGCAATACAGAATGTATCTAATTGGACATCTCTCGTAATTTATTATAATAAGAATTAGAAGTAGATAACGTTGCGTGCCTGTCTGTCGTGACATACTGTTTAGTTTTTCGTCGACTTATGTTGCTAATTCGGTCTCTCCGAAAAGCCCTTTTATTTTAAACTAGCGACTCAGCCTCGCTTCGCTCGGGTTCGTTCCTCGCTTGCTTCCCAATACAAATTTTTATCCATATTTTCACCCCCTTCAGGGATGATTTCCGCGATAAAAAGTATCCTATGTCCTTTCCAGGGTCTCAAACTATCTTCTTAGCAAATTTCATCTAAATCGGTTCTGTAGATCCAGAGATTACCCCCTACAACGTCACAAACTCACAAATTCACAAACTTTACCTCTTTATAATATTAGTTTTAAATAAATACCTAATATGTCTATGTCGACCATGAACGTCCATTTTATATATTAGTCAAAGAATTTTAAAATTGTATGAGTAGTTTTAGAGATCACCTCTACAACTACATGATAACTTACAAACTTTACCACTTTTGAATATAAGTGTAAGTAAATTATGTATGCTGTAGGTACATAAAATATACCTTCATTTTTCAAGAAGTAGAGAAAAAAACAACGTATATTGTTATTTGTAACCTTAAAATGTCTTTCAAATATTGTATAAACATATTCAATTTATTGTTTTTAAACAGGTGCGCTGTTAAGGATAAAACTCTTATTTTATTATTTGTAAAGCGATTTAATTACAATAATAAAATACTAGCAGCGTAATAGCCCGAATAACTATTTCTTTGGGACAGATTTAATATATATTGAAATATAGCGACATACTCTCGCTACGCTTGGGTTCGTCCACTGTTCCCTAAAGGCTAAAGAGCTAAAAAGGATAGCTTTTGCCGCGCGGTAAAAGCAAGAGCGGCGGCGCATTGTTTATAAATATTAAACTCGCTTTGATCAAAGGTCAAATCAATAATGTCAATAAGAATGCTCTCGATACATTCATATGTCCTTTTAATGTGGCATTGTAAGGTCTTAAAGTGCGTATGTTTAAGATTTTATATACTAGTTTCTGCCTGCGGCTTTACTCTATTACTATTCCGCTGATTGTAATTATACTTTACGACCAAATTCTTAGGTTTTACATATTAGTATACTCTAACATTGCAGTTTTTGTATTTTTTCTCAGAAATGAGATATTTTCCCGTGGTAAAAAGTATGCTATATGTTGACCCGGATAACCAGCTATCATCATACCAAATTTCATCAAAATCCCTCCAGTGGTTCTTCTGTGATGCGGTAACAGACAGACAGACAGGCAAAAATCCTAAAAACTATAGATTCGGCCACTGTATCGATAATAATGTTTATTTCAATAAGATTTTCCAAAAAATATTTAATGTACAGATTCGGCTAAGTTACAATTTTATTATATGTATAGACTACCGACTTACCCTCGCTTCGTTCGGATGCGTCTTCAGGTTTAAATAATCTAGGAACGCATTTAAGACAAACGTCCGATGAATTTCGTAGGCGTACATACAGAATAATTCACAAATGTTTCAGCACATAGAGGAACAACACACAAACATTAATTTTTATATATATATAGATAGATTTGTATTCTCATTTAAAACAAAATCACTTATTTGTTAGTTTTATTTTTATCTGTCAATGGATAGGTATCCATAAACTTTGATTCTTTATTCAATAGAAGGGACTTAAAAGCTGTACGTTTTCTAAGTGATCTATAGTCTGCAATATATTATGTATGTAATTTTTATTAATTATTCCAGATGGTGATATGTCGGCTTGTGGCTTCCAGGGTTCCTCGACAATAAATATCGACTTGGAAGCAGAAAACAGGCATTACAGATGTGGTCATTTAGCTATGACGTACACGGGTTTGTGTATCTTGCTAACTTTAGGCGATGATCTGTCAAGAATTAATAGAAAAGCCTTAATTGAAGGTATATATATATTCATTTTTTATTTTCCTTCTTCATAATTGTACTGATAACATAAACTCGTAACAGTGATTTTTTTAAAGTATAAAATGATTTTCGTAAAGTTTGTGTGAATATTGTAGTCTTAAAACCGCGTGCAGCAGATTTTCCATCATCTCATAGGTACATCAGGTTTAAAGTCAGAATCCCCAGTGATATTGCCCTATAAATTCCGTTTATATGGAAATTTATGAGTTCCAGTGTTTAGGAGTCTTTTAATCTACTCGGCCTTACACTTAAAGTAATTCTAGGTCTTATAGTTTATTTCCTGTATCACGGAAATTGCTCTAACGATTTGGAACAAATTTTGTGTTAAGATAAGGTCTTATACTTAATATATGTATTTTTAGTTTAAAAAAAAAACGGAATTTTTCACAATAAAAAAGCTTTTTATAACTAATTATTAAAGCCTTTTTCTGTCTGCTCTCATGTTGATGATATCGTACAGCGCCATCTCGTAAATTTTTGTGATACTTGCATTGTCGTCAATGGACGATAATCTACAAAACGAGCGTCAACGCTGAGCGAATCTAGTTCGCCCAGGCACTGTATTATTAATCACGCTATTACTTGTATTTTTACATACGTAGTTTGAATTTAGCAAAATGCGTCGCACAAACATACTAGCTAATGAACGTGTAATATATATATATATATATATATATATATATATATATATATATATATATATATATATATATAACCGGAACTGTTTTGGGGTAAAAAATAACGAGGGTGGCTTCGTACTCAGATCGAAAAATTATAATAATATCCATTAGTTAAAAGAAATTATGTTTTTATTACATTATATAAAAATTAATTCGTACATAATATTAAATTCATACGTTACAATATATCAAATAAATATAGTTAAAAGATAGATTAATACGTTTGAGAAATAAATCATAAGAAGTCTTTGTAAGCCAATTAGTAGGATGCGAGGCATTCAAATCATTCAATTTCAATCAGTTCAATTCAAAACAAGTATCTTTGCTTACTGGGAAGGCTCAGCGTAAAATATTGTAACTACGATTTCATGAATAAAGGTATTTTTATTTTTTATTTTTTGAAGTTATACTTCTTTTGGCACGTTTGGAAAAAATTATGATGGTAAAATTTTTTATGATGCGCGCGCACACCGGCAGCCAAAAAGTGACACGATGAAGTTAGCTGCATTCCTTTTACAAACAGAGAGTTGTGACATACGGGATGAAATCTTTAGCTATTTTTGTTCTGTTACGCCAAAGAAGTATAACTTCGTACGTGCGTACATAAGTACACAGTTACACACGTTTTTTTAATTTGTAAAATTACTATATATTCTTAGGTATTAAAGCTTTGCAAACGGAAGAAGGCAACTTCGCAGCGACCCTGTCTGGCTGCGAGTCGGACATGCGCTTTGTTTACTGCGCAGCATGTATAAGCTATATACTGAATGATTGGTCCGGCTTTAATATAAAACGAGCAACGGATTATATTTTAAAATCCATAGTAAGTGGTATTTTTTATTATCATTATTGATATAAGAAAACATAGATACACATTTTCTAAGAAATAAAAGTGGCGTCGATATGTCATTGTCACTGTCATGTCATTGAACCAAATAATAACATTCAAAAATCGAAAATTTAAATTGTTTTAACACAACTTCGCACTTATGCTCATCACTTAAAGTATTTTTTTAAACGAACGTTTTAATTTTGTAATCTGAAAATCAATAAACAAAAGAGATTGCAAAACAGCGCATGTCAATTTCGAATTGTGCACTTCTTTTTGAGGATACCTTTAGACGCTACTGTATCGTGAGTTTTTGTATACCAATCAATAATTATGGTATTAGGAATGCGAACTACCTCGTTGTTTCTGGGTGCGAGCCCTGGGTTCGAGTCTTCGGTCAGGTTAAAATGGTTACTGGGTTTTTTGTCATGAAAAACTCAGTAGAAATTTGGAGTTGGGAATATGGCGGTGCTACACCCCCGTGCCCCGACATATAGGGGCATATCTACATATAGGGGCATCTCACTATGAATGAGAGTGTAAGGAATAGTATAGTAAGTTTCTGCGCACACGCACTGCACAATATTAATTTATAATATTGTTTATAAATTGGCCGTCGTCATTTAAATCGATTTGGATGATTAAATAAGTACTCAATTAATACTTTCTCTGTTTGATTTTATAAGAGCTACCATAATGATGTGATACTGCATATATTTGTTTGAATAAGCCCATATAAATAACTTACATGTACGATACGTATTGTTGAAAGTCATTGAAACCATTATTGTCGTGTTGTTTACTTTAATTATAGAATAAATGATATAAAATTAGTATTGAAATTTTTGTTTTATATTTTTCAGGGTTACGACTATGGTATAGCTCAATGTCCTGAACTGGAATCCCATGGAGGTACAACATTCTGTGCGTTGGCAACACTGAGTCTAACGAATCAGTTGGACCAACTTTCCGAACAACAAATAGAAGGTTTAAAAAGATGGCTGCTTTTTAGACAGATAGACGGTTTTCAAGGAAGACCGAATAAACCCGTAGATACGTGTTACAGTTTCTGGGTTGGCGCTTCTTTAAAGATTCTAGATGCCTTACATTTATCTAATTACGCAAATAATAAAAGCTACGTGTACGAAACACAGGATTATGTGGTTGGTGGTTTTTCAAAATGGCCGGACACGTGTACTGATCCTATGCACACCTATTTAGGCTTGGCCGGTCTCAGCCTAATCGGTGAAAACGGTCTACTAGAAATCGTACCAACGTTAAATATAACAAAAAGGGCTCACGATCACCTAAAAGCCTTACACGAACAATGGGCGAGTGAATCATAGCTTTATTTTTAATCTGTATAATGTTGCCATTGTAAAATAGACTGATGGCGTCGTTGGCCTTCGAAAATCAATTTTAAAATTAAATGTTTTTAAAATATAATTAAATTTAGTATATATTTTAAATTGCTGAAACGCTCGCGTTAGTTTTAAAGCGCAATACAGTATATAGTGTTAGTACTTAACAATTTTATGAATAACAGGTGCTAATTGTTAAAGCGAATAAGTTTTACAACGATTTCAGCAAACAGTACAATATATGTATACATATTAAATATCGTATGGTGCCATGTTAACTATGTGAAATCGTTTCAAGGGTCATATTTGTACATTCAAGTTATTTTAACAAAGCACAAAATTATATAAAAATTATAAAAAAAAAAAACATTTTTCGTATTCTTTTTGTGACGTCACTATATTTGTTTCCACTCTTTGCATTTTATTTTTTTGTTATAAAGCAAAAAAATAAATGATTAATTATAATATTTTTGAATATTCTAAATGTTTTAGTTTGTTATTTTAAAAAATGGATTAAATAATGTTAATCCCTCCACGACCGCGGACACGCCGGTGTTACAGTTAACAATAGGTTTCTTAGAAATTTAATTAATTTCTTAAAAATTTACGTGGAGGTGTTAATGAAATAGAAAGAATCATAACTCAACGGTTCCTCAATAAAAAAAATAAGGAAAAAATATAAATAAATACTTAAATTTATGGATATATATAATATCAGAAATAATAGTTTTTAAAATTTATAATTTTCAAACACGGTTACATGAAAGAGATATGTATTACAATTTTTTTGCATACCATAAAAATATATTTATTATGAAATGTCGATTTAGGCTTAATTTTCTCATCTATACATTTAAATTTTTAAATTAAATCTCGGGTAATAGCTAGTTTTATTTATATTTTGGCGTTTGCAGTTTTCATTTATAGTTCATAGTTAGGCAAATATGAAATTATTGCACAAATTTTAAAATTATAAGTAATTTTGTTGTTACTTAAGACTTAAGACACAATAAAATACGCAATGGGAACACAATATAACTATAAAGAGTAGATTGGATATGATCAGACGGTTGTATAATTTAAGGTTCGCTTATTCTAAGTCATAGTATTCTTTACTTTTTAGTCTGTTGTAGTTGCCAGTTAAAAAAAATATTTATTTATGGAGTCTTTGTTTTTTTTTGATAAATCGTGTCTTAAGGTTTGTTTCATGGTAAAATTATTACACTATTTTAACTTATCAATCAAGATACGGTTTGAGTTTTTTTGTCATTTTTTTTAATTACGCTTTAAAAATTAAAGTGTGTTTCTATGTTTAAGCTAATTTATTACGTCATGATATTTATTCTACTACATACATATTTTCCAAGACGGGTTCGTTACCGACTACCGTTCACACTCATATCATTATACCTAGTGTTCTATATTAAAAAAATATGTATTAATTTCTAGTACATAAAAATATTCTGATTTTAAACGCTTTAAAATTAGATATATTCAAATAATTCCGTGATTTTTAAATTGATTATGAATATATATAAATTATTATATTTTTGTGCGATTGTCTATGGATATCATGAAACAAGTGAAATTATGGAATTGAGAGTGTTTTTTTAATATAAATTATAAGTAATTAAATTATATAAATCCGTAATACGTTTTAAAAGTAACTATTTTTCATTTTCCATGCTTCTAAACGCCCCTCTAGCAGAAACTAATGCAAACTAAAGTGGTCAATACTAAAAATTATGATAAATATTGTCAAAAAATATTGTATTTAAGGCCACTTATTAATGTGCTTTATAGTTTTTATAATGTTAAATACTCTTAGACAGTAGATACTTATATAGATATGTAAAACACTGCTCATTTTAGTTTATTTACTCTCCACATAACAAAACAGGCCGCGCAAATATAGCCAAACTCAAATTCCTAAATTGACTTAATTTTTTTTATCAAAAGCTTGTATGTAATTTATACCATTATTTATTACTTTAATAGTATTATTTTACAAATTTACATCCGTATATGCGTTTCTTCGAAACAATTAATTGTTTAAGCCTTAGATGGAATAGAGGTTAGGATGTTTTTGCGCAGACAGTTTCAATTTCACACGAATGCGTCAAATATACCAATTGTACGTGCAAACTATAAAATATTATATTAAAAGTATATTTTTATAAATCGTAAGGGGCTTACTGAAAAATACAGATTTTTTTACCGTTTATTTTTTTATTTATTGGCCGAATAAATGTCTGCATTGTTCAAAAGTAAATGATTAAAATAAAAAAAATATATATTATAGCAAATATACTTTTAGTGTAAAACATTGTCAATTTTGCTTATATATTTTTATTACACGCTGTAATCATTTCGTGCATAAAATGACACTGGCTATGTAAAAATAATTTATCATTTTACGGATCTAAATTTGTAATGTGTTACATTTGTATGAATGATATTATTGCGTAAGTTTTTTTGTATATAAATCAAAAGATTAAATAAAAATATAAAAGAACATCTGTTTTCTTGTACATATCCCGTTTTAATTTAAATAATACAATTTTGAAGACTTACATATTACAGTAATCTATTTTATCTATATCTCACAGATTAAGCAATAATTTAGACAGTGTCATAGAACTAGACATAGAGCCAAATAATAATGTTCTAAAATAACATTTAGTTTTAAGAGTTTTAAAATATTGACACTCATTACTGTAATAAGTAAATAGAAATGAATAAACAAAAATAACTAAGGGATTTTATTATAAAGAAAAAAAAAAGCTAATATAAACCAACGTCTCTATCAAGGGGAAGAGAACTAATGCTTAAAAATAAAAATGAATTTAATATTATTCATATTATTCATTATTATTATTATTTTCCAAAATAAATAAATTATGGCTTCCGATATAAAATTTCTCTTTTTCTAAATGATCTGTATGGCAAAGTCAAGAATATTAGCATGAACAGCAAACCGCGCTACTATTTTTGACTTTTGACTTTATTTTTGGCGGGCTCCGTCTATAATAGAATTCTAAAGAATTGTCTTGAGTTAATTTATACATATAATAAAATGCTGAGTCGAATCTGTATATAAAATATTTTTTGAAAATTGTTATTGAAATAGTCATTATTATTGATAAAAAGGCCGAATTTATAGTTTTTTGAATTTTTGTCTATCTCGTGTCTCATGATTTCGATGAAATTTAGTATGGTAGCTGGTTCTCCAGGTCAATAATATATAGGATACTTTTTACTACGGGAAAATATCTCGTTTCTGAGAAATCTATACTAACCGTTAAAACGCGTACCCAGTTATGAACCCGAGCGGAGCGATGGTGAGTCGAGAGTAACGTATAGATTAAAACTTTTTATATTTCCGCGTTTTATGATTGTAACTTCGAGGATAAACGCGTATACTCGTAAGTGGCAAAATACCTTATCGCGGGCAAATTCGCCCGCGCCTTTATTCTCGTACGCGTTTAATCTCGTAGTGTCTAGTTCTTATACAGTATATTATACATTGCGTCTAGTTAATGGTATATAATGTATATACAAAATAATAATAATAATAATGAACTCCTGACCGACTTCGGCCAAAGGCGAGTCTCATTGAGATTCCATCTGTGCAAGAGAAATTATAGTGCACAAGTGTACGTGCAGACACAAGTGCACTCTCTATTCCTGTCACTTTCAAGTCTCATACTTCAGTGGGACGACTGTTCGACACGACCGGTGAGAGTTAAGGCGCAAAACCGACGGCTTTACGTGCTCTCCGAGGCACGGGGGTGTAACACCGCCAACTTCCCAACTCCGGGCTGTTACTGAGACTTACTAAACAGAAAGACTCAATAATCAAACTTGGCCCAACCCGGGACTCGAACCCAGGACCTCTCGATGTGCAGCCGTTCTTGCTAGCCATTACACCACCGAGGCAGTTATACACTATATAGTGATACAAAATAAGAAATACATATACATATGTGTATTTCAAACTTCAAAGAAAAGTCAGTATATTTTATGAAAAAAATATATACTAAACCGTATCGAGTTGATACAAATATTTTCGGATATTATTTTGCATTCACAATATTTTATTGACAACTTAAAATATGCCTACAAATATACTACTATAACCATTTATAAAACGTTAATGAATAAACGTAGAAAATAACTACGCTCCTAGTAAAAACAATAACAGCTATCTAATACCTAATGTTCTTTTATTTTTCCCATATCGGTTGCAATATGGTGTAACACCTATACCATATACATATATTGATTCAGAAATTTAAATATTCTTAAAAAAATTTACTTCGCCCAGGATCGAACCTGTGATTGTTTACTGAATAGCCAGTGCGATAGTTCAGACATATTCTACTATTTGTCTTACAATCGTAATTTTTATTGTTTATAGCTAAACGCGGCAAACTAACATATGATCCATTTAAAAGGTTTTTGTCGTGGTCATTGACCATGGCTTGTAGATATATATGAGAGACTGGGATATCTATGGTAATGTACAAAGTTGTATCCATAGAAAGGTATTAATGGGATTATAAGCAGCTTAAAGTTTCAATCACGGATTATGTAGCGTCTTTCCTATTACTGAAAATATTTTCAAAAACGAATCATTTGTGACTGTAATTTACCTCCTATATATAAAAATAACGAACTAAATCTCTTTATAATATTAGCATAGACAACTACGCATTATGTTTTATTTCCAAGGAAATTTATTTTCCGGGACTACAATTATCCAGCCGAGTTACAATTTATTAGTGTATGAAATGTTTACAGACTCGTTTCTCTAGAGTAATGGCGGTCGGGATTAGACCGTAACTGTATTGTATTAAGTACGCAAGTTAAAATTTAGTTACACTATGATAAACAGTAATTTAAACTTTTCTTGACACTTGCCAGGTAACAAAATTTAAACGTCGTGTTTTACTTCATCCGGAAAGTTTGCTAATTGTATT